CTCTCGCCTTAGCGCCTCGCGCATTCGCTTTAAACATTTGCCAAACTTTTACATACGGATTGAGGGCGGTGACTTTTCACAAGGTGGTTGTCGCCGTAGCGCGGCGCACACTCGTTGTAAACATTCTCAAGAACTTCACGGATGGGGGGCGGGTCGTTTTCAAAATGTGGCTCTCGCGGTAGCGCGGCGCACATTCGTTTTAAACATTTGCAAGAGTTTCACGGATTGAGGGCGGGTCGTTTTCAAAATGTGGCTCTCGCCATGGCGCACATTCGGTTTAAACATTTGCAAGAGTTTCACGGATTCCAATCATCAACGTGTCAGAAAATGTGTTTGGAAAGGAATCAGGATTATGCGGGTGCGATAGTTATGTTGATTGGCTGTGTTGAAGTCCCAGGAATGGTTTTCTGGCACGATTCAGGAATGTCAAGACGCAACAGCCAGGTTGATGCGTGGCGTTGGAATCCCGAGAACAATGTTCGGGTATTCTTCAGGGTTATCAAACGGCTGTCTTCCAAAGAGGAAGTTCTTTCAATGGAAATGAACCGTTGTAGGGGCCTGTGGAGAGGGAGCTTGGAGGGAGGGTGTATTCCAACCTCGTTGGTGACTCCTGGGTTTGCACTGGTCCTCCTCCTCCTCCCTCTCCCCCCCCTCTCCTCCTCCTCCTCCTTCGTCTCCATTCCTTTTTCCTTCCAGGTAACTTCTCCCTGTCGCACCCCCGGGCAAGCTTTTAGGGCGGCCCGGGCGTTTCGCCTGAGACTTCCTCACCATTTATGACTCTGAAGCTGAAGCATCTGCAACAGTTTTACAGATGGAGGGCGGGTCGTTTTCAAAATGTGGCTCTCGCGTTAGCGCGGCGCGCATTCGTTTTAAGCATTTGCAAGAGTTTCACGGATTGAGGGCGGGTCGTTTTCAAAATGTGGTTCTCGCCTTAGCGCGGTGCACATTCGTTTTAAACATTTACAAGAGCTTCACGGAATGAGGGCGAGTCGTTTTCAAAATGTGGCTCTCGCCTTAGCGCCTCGCGCATTCGCTTTGAACAGTTGCCAAACTTTTACGGATTGAGGGCGGTGCCTTTTCACAAGGTGGTTGTCGCCGTAGCGCGGCGCACATTCGGTTGAACATTTTCACGAGTTTCATCATCAACGTATCAGAAATGGTGTTTTGAAAGGATTAAGGGTTTGTGCGGGTGCAGTAGTGATGTTGATTCGCTGAGTTGAAGTCCCAGGAACGGCTTTCTGGCACGATTCAGGATTGTCAAGACGCACCAGCCCGGTTGATCCGTGGCGTTAGAATCCCGAGAACAATGTTCGGGCATTCTTCAGGGTTATCAAACGGCTGTCTTCCAAAAAGGAAGTTCTTTCAATGGAATTGAACCGTTGTAGGGGCCTATGAAGAGGGAGCTTGGAGGGAGGATGTATTCCAACATCGTTGATGACTCCTGGGTTTGCACTGGTCCTCCTCCTCCTCCCCCTCCTCTCCTCCTCCTCCTCCTCCTCCTCCTACTTCGTCTCTATTCCTTTTTCCTCCTAGATAACTTCTCCCTGTCGCACCCCGGGGCAAGCTTTTAGGGCGGGCCGGGCGTTTCGCATGAGATTTCTACACCATTTGTGATTTCGAAGCTGAAGCATTGGCAACAGTTTCACAGATGGGGGTCTGGTCGTTTTCAAAATGTGGCTCTCGCGTTAGCGCGGCGCGCATTCGTTTTAAGCATCTGCAAGAGTTTCACTGATTGAGGGCGGGTCGTTTTCAAAGTGTGGCTCTCGCCTTCGCGCGGCGCACATTCGTTTTAAACATGTGCAAGAGCTTCACGGATTGAGGGCGGGTCGTTTTCAGCTTGTGGCTCTCGCCTTAGCGCGGCGCGCATTCGTTGTAAACATTTGCAACAGTTTCACGGATTGAGGGCGGGTCGTTTTCAAAATGGTTCTCGCCTTAGCGCCGCGCACATTCGTTTTAAACATTTGACATAATTTCACGGATTGAGGGCGATTCCTTTTCACAACGTGGTTGTCGCCGTAGCGCGGCGCACATCCGGTTTGAACATTTGCAAGAGTTTCACGGATTCCCATCATCAACGTGTCAGAAATTGTGTTTTGAAAGGATTCAGGTCTCATGCGGGTGCAATGCTTATGTTGATTCGCTGTGTTGAAGTCCCAGGAATTTTTTTCTGGCACGATTCAGGATTGTCAAGCCGCAACAGCCAGGTTGATCCGTGGCGTTAGACTCCCGAGAACAATGTTCGGGCATTCTTCAGGGTTATCAAACGGCTGTCTTCCAAAAGGGAAGTTCTTTCAATGGAGATGAACCGTTGTAGGGGCCTATGAAGAGGGAGCTTGGAGGGAGGGTGTAATCCAACATCGTTGATGACTCCTGGGTTTGCACTGGTCCTCCTCCTCCTCCCCCTCCCCCTCTCCTCCTCCTCCTCCTCCTCCTCCTCTTCCTCCTCCTCCTCCTCCTCCTCCTCCTCAGTAGCAGCAGCAGCAGCAGCAGCAGCAGCAGCAGCAGCAGCAGCAGCAGCAGCAGCAGCCACTTCCGCTTCCGCTTCCGCTTCCCATCTCTGGCTTCCAGGGCTCCGACCCTGCCCAGCTCCCGTTCGCGGAGTGTGCCGCAGACGGGGCCTGGAGACGCGCGCGGGCGTTGCGCCGCTGGGCCCCCGCGCTGGAGCTCCCCTGGGGGCGGATGCTGGCGCTGCCTCTCGGGGCCTTCGCTGGAGCTCCCCATGGGGCCAGGAAGCGAACACCCTGTTCCGCTCGTGCGGTCATGCCTCCTCCTCCTCCTCCTCCTCCTCCTCCCTCCTCCTCCTCCTCCTCCTCCTCATCTTCCTCCTCCTCCTCCTCCTCCTCCTCCTCCTCCTCCTCCTCCTCCTCCTCCTCCTCCTCCCCCTCCTCCTCCTGTTCCGCTCGTGCGGTCTGCCGCCGCTGCTGCTGCCTGCCGCCTCTGCTCACCCGCGCGGCTCTCGGCGGCGCCCTGCTTGCTCCGGAGACTCGCCTGCCCGAGGCATGCCCGCGGAGCGCCCGGCAGCCAGGCCATGCCCGCCGATCGAGAGGGCGTGCGGATCCAGAGTCGGCGGCGGGCGAGGGGGGAAACGGGAAGGACGGGGGTTCAAACTTTGAGGTTCGAGGCTCGAGGAGGTTTTTCCTAGTTGTCGGCGTCTGGGGGCCGCCTTCGGGCCCCAGGACCTCCGAATTTCGATCCGCGTCGGAGAAACCTCGGGAGGGACCGATTTTGACCAGTACTCGGCGCCAGTACTCGTCGTTGCGCCCAGGGGGAACTGAGAAGGAGAAGGCCTTCTCAGAAGGCGGCGGGACTTCTCAGAAGCCCTCGCGCCTTCCGAGAAGCTGGCGGTGTCTTCGGGAACGGCTCAGAGAAGCTCTCAGAAGTCTGGGGGGCTTCCGAGCCTTCGAGAAGGCCTGCTCCTTTTCACTTCTCCCCCTTCCGAGGCGGGAATTGATTCATGACCACCGCCTGGAGGGTCAGTTTTCGGAGCCTCGGCTGGCGGTGGATGTGAATATATTCGGGCCCCTGGGGGCCGAACTATATCCGTATCCACCGCCTGCTGGGGCACCAGGACGTCGGTTCCCAGGCAGTGGATGTGGACAGATCCCCGCCTCGCACCCCTCGCTCGCCGCCGACAGATGGCTGCGCGCGAGGAGGAGCGTGACCGTCCCTGGCGTGGTGCGCTCTCTCTCTTTCTCTCTCTCTCTCCCTCTCTCTCTATATATATACACACATATATATATATATACATCAGAGCGGTGGCGCTCGTGGTGAGGACACCGCCGCCCGCGCTCAAGCCTCCCTCTGGACGCTGCCGCTCCAGGCCTCCCGGATGGGGCCCGAGCAGCTGGGGCCGCACCGCCGATGGCGGCGGCGACGCGGCTCGGTGCGGAGCCCGCCTCGCTCCGCGCCGGCGGCGCCGAGGCACTGCCGGCGGCTGCCAGCGCCACCCTTGGCATCGCTCGGACGTGTGCATTTTGTCGGGGGTGGACAGAGCCCCCAACAGTGACACGTCGATTCGTGAATTGTCCGTTTTCGGTTCTCGAGAGGGCGCCGTGGCCGCTATTTTCCAGGCTTGCGCCCGCCAGGTTTGGGCCTCAGGTCGTTTTCACTGAACCACGTTTTGCTAAAGGGGGGTCTGTCCATCCCCGAATTGTCCCGTTGGCGAGGACCATCGAGGAGCATCCTTGATCATTTGGCGAAATAAAACCACGCACAAAACCAACAAAAAAACTCAGGGAATGGACGTCCGAGCGATGGCCAGCACCGATGCATCGGCGATGCATGGGCGACGCGGCGCGGTCCTCTGACCCCGTTCGCTCGGGCCCCGCTGGGGAGGCCTCCGTCCGCAGCGGCAGCGTCCCAGCGCCCGCGGCGACGCCGCGGCGCTTCCACAGACACTCCGCTGCCGTCCTGCCTCCGGCGCGGCGCCTCGCTGCCGGCGAGCCCCGCCACCTCGCGGGCACGCCTCGCATCGCAGCCGGTCAGCCTTCTGAAGGGGGGGTGGCTCGCGGAGGCCCAGAGGGGCGCATGTGGAGGACATCCTTCTTACCGGGGGCTCGTAGAGGGGGGAGTACCCTCGGAGGCCTCAGAACCGTGCGGTGACGGACAGCGTGGTGACCTCGGGGATCCCAAGAGAGACCTCACCGCGCGGTGCGTCACCCCACGGTTTTGGGACCTCGGAGGCCCCAGTCGCCCGAGACATCCTCGGAGAACCGACCCGAGTCCCTAGACTGTGCGGTGACCCCGAACCCCCACCGACCCACCGCACGATGTGGTCACCACATCGTTGGGGCCCCCCGATGCCCCAGTGCGGGGAAAGGGAGCGAGCCCACCTGGATGCGCCCATCGCGTCGGTTGTGCTCTGACCCCACCTCTGCCCTTACCCCATGCCTCAGACGCCCCCTCCCGCCCTCCCCCGCGATTAGAGCTCCTGCGAGACCACTCCCCCGTCGCTTTGCTGCGCCCTCGTCTGATGCTGCTTCCCGCTCGGCGCCCGACCGAGGAGGGGCTGGCGCGGTGAGCTCGTTCGCCCCCAGGGACGCCGCCGAGTTCATCTGGCAGTACCTCCTGGGCGGGCAGGGGTGGCGTCAGGGGGCCCGCATCAGATGCGCGAGGAGGAGGCTCCACGGAGAGCGGGCGATGCGGGGACGGGAGGGCGGGAGGAGGGAGGAGGAAGGAGGAGGAGGAGGAGGAGGAGGAGGAGGAGGAGGAGGAGGAGGAGGAGGAGGAGGAGGAGGAGGAGGAGGAGAGGAGGAGGAGGAGAGGAGGAGGAGAGGAAGGAAGGAGGAAGGAGGAAGGAGGGAAAGGAGGAGCGAGGAGGAGGAAGGAGGAAGGAGAAGGAAAGGAGGAGGAGGAGGAGGAAGGAGGAGGAAGGAGGAGGAGCGAGGAGCGCGAGGAGCGAGGAGCGAGGAGCGAGGAGCGAGGAGCGAGGAGCGAGGAGCGAGGAGCGAGGAGCGAGGTGCGAGGAGCGAGGAGCGAGGAGCGATGGCGGGGGGGGCGGCCGTGCGGGGGGAGGCGGTGGCCGGTGGCGGCGCGGGGGGGGCGCGGCGAGGGGGGGAAAGGAGGGGGGCGGGCGGCCGCATCGGAGGACGTGGAGGAGCAGGGGCAGCGAGGGGCAGGGGTGCCAAGGCGGAGGGCGGCGGGCGCCCTCGCTCCCCCCGTCCGTTCTCCGTTCTCCTGGTCCTGCCACCGTGCCCCCCCCCCTTCAAGCAGTGGCGAAGCGTCTCGGCGTGCCTATAGCCCTACCAAACAATGTTCTAAGAACCTGTTGTGGTTTCCACGAAGTGTTCTTAGAACATTTCTTGCTGGGACTGTCTTGTTTGAACGCATGAGGCATACGTTCTAAGAACATGGTTTTTGTTCTGAGAGCGTTTTTGGGTTCTAAGAACATTTCGTGGTAGGACTACAGGAATGCCGGGACGGTCGGTCCCTGCTCAATTCATGGCGCTCCCACTTGTGCCAGGACGCATCAAGAGCAGGCGCTGCAATATTCGGCGGCGAGCGAGGGGGGGAAACGAGTTTCGGAAGTCCCCCAGCCTTCCGAGAAATTTTCTGAGCCTTCTCCGAAGACAAACAAAAACTTCTCCTCAGAAGGCGCGAGGGCTTCTGAGAAGTCCCGCCGCCTTCCGAGAAGGCCTTCTCTTTCCCACGTCCCCCCCCCGCTCGCCGCCGAAGAATAAACAAGAGGAAAGACGGCGATTGCGCTGATGACGACGGCGAGAACCACAGGGCCGTGCCACGTTTCGAATGCACTGGAGTTTCGGTGGTGGGGATGCGCCTTGATTCCCTCAACGCCCACCGTCTGTGTGATTCCAGGCCCGATTATAGCCGGCCTTCAGCCGACGTGGGGACCCGAAGCCCTGCGCGGCTTGGGGTTCCCCACGGGCGTGCTGCCACGCTCCCTCCCTGGAGGGCCCCCTGGCAGCCACGAGGTCACCAGCGAGCCGGGAGGAGCGGGAGAGTCGAAGTGCATCCCTCTGCACGAGCGAAATGGGTACGGAAAGAATGGGTACAATGCCCAACAGCAGTTCTGGTTCACTTTGAACATGACTCGCTGTCCGCGCCGCCGCGGCCTGTGTCCATTTGAGACAGAAGGCCGCCTGCCCAACAGCGCCCGCTGTTGGTTTGGGACAACAGTTGTTCTTCGGCATTGTACCCATTTCTTGCGTACCCATTTCGGGCGTCCAAAATCCCACGGCAATGGCGATCCCACGGCAGGGAGGAGGAGGAGGAGGAGGAGGAGGAGGAGGAGGAGGAGGAGGAGGAGGAGGAGGAGGAGGAGGAGGAGGAGGAGGAGGGAGAAGCGGAGGAGGAAGACGAGGAAGACGATGAGGAGGCGAGGAGAAGGAACATCGGTGGGCGGCGATGGCGGCAGCGAAGAGGCCCCCGCGGCCCCAGCGGGGGCGGTCGGGAAGGGAGACCCTTGACGCACAGCCCCGGGGGGCCCCCGCGGAGGCCTCCTCGGCCCCTCCGGCCCCCGCGGGAGCCCACGGAGACGTCCTGCAGCCTCGGAGGCTGGGGCTCAGTCGGGCCTGTCCCTCTGCACGAGGGATAGTCAAGAATAGTCAAACAGATTAGTCTGGGGATGATTTTTGGAGCATTCTTCTGATTATCTTTTGCTATTCCTGACAATTCTTTATGTTTCGCCCAAGATCCACCTGCAGGGGGACATGCCCAACCTAAGGCTGGGGCCTCTAGCGCCAGTCTTGAGCCAGGGGAGTGTGAAACTCGGGTTCGCCGGAACTCGGGGGTTCGCCGTCGGTTATTGGGATTTTGCCGGTCCAGTTTCTGTGGGACATTCGCAGCTTGAGCCAGCTCCAAGTCTCACACCGGGTCGTGCCATTTGTCCGACGGCCTCGTGATGCCAACTCGAGTCCTCCAAACTCTTGTCTTACGTCTCCCGGACAGAGGTGGGCAAGACGCGCTGCTGTCCGAGAACCGGCACCCCTGGATCGTGGCGGTGTCCCTGCGGGTGCTGGACTTCCAGGCCCAGAGGGCGGACGCCGCAGCCTGGCGAAAGAGGGGTCAGGAGCGAGAGCTGGATGATGATAGTGGTGGTGATGATGGTGGTGGTGGTGATGACGATGGCGATTGCGATGGCGATGACGATGACGACGACGACGATGACAATGACGATGATGAAGTCGACGAGGATGGATGATAGTGATGGTGACGATGGTAATGATTGTGATGCTGATGATAATGATGATAATGATGGTGATGATGCTGTTGATTGTGACACTGATATTCGTGTTGTTTGTCGTCGTCGTTGTTGTTATTGTTATTGTAGTTGATGGTGGTAATGCGGTTGTCGATGATAGCTGGCGATGATTATGATCATGATGATGATGATGAAGAAACGATGATGATGATATTAGTGATGATGATGAGGATGATGACGATGATGGTAATGATGATGTTGATGATGATGATGATGATGATGAGGACGAGGAGGACACTGATGTGGGTGATGCTGCTGCTGCTGCTGCTGCTGATGATGATGATGATGATGATGATAATGATGGCGACGGTGTGGACGGCGGTAACACGGGCGATGCTGACTATTGCGATAGCGATGTAGTGATGATGATGGGGGACAATGCCGATGACGATGACGATGCTAATGATGATGATGATGATGATGATGATGGTGATGATGATGATGATGATGATGATGATGATGATGATGGTAATGATGCTGATGACGATGTTGATGATTCTGATCAGGCTCACGACAATGACGACTGTGATGTTGGAGTTCACGGTAATGCTGCCGATTGATAGGGAGGGTGATGATGAGGATGCTGCTGATGGTTATTATGATGCTGATGTTGGTGATGGTGATGCTGTTGCTGACGACGATGCTGATGATGATGACGATGGCATGACAGGGGGGGGTGATGATGATTACTACGATGCTGTTTCTGACGATGACGATACTGAAACCGACTATGATGCTGATAGTGAAGAGCATGGCGATGACGATGATAATCATGCTGATGGTGCTTGTGGCGATGATTCGGATGATGATGATGATGATGATGATGATGATGATGATGATGATGGTGATGGTGAGGGTGATGATGATGATGATGATGCTGATGCTGATGCTGATGCTGATGCTGGCAATGCTGATGCTGATGCTGCTGCTGCTGCTGCTGCTGCTGCTGATGATGATGATGATGATGATGATGATGATGATGATGATGATGATGATGAGGATGAGGATGAGGATTAGGATGAGGATGAGGATGAGGATGAGGATGATGATGCTGCTGCTGCTGATGCTGCTGCTGATGATGATGACGATGATGACAATATTAAAAGGGGGGGTCACTACCCGTTCGACCCCCCCCCCGTTCGCCGCCAGCAAACGATTCCTGCTCCTCCGGACAGTTGGACAGTGGTTTGGACAATGGGACAGTGGTGGGGACGGTGGTGGTGGGGACAGTGCTGTGGCGACAGTGGGACAGTGGTGGAGACAGTGGGGACAGTGGGACAGTGGTGGGGACGGTGGTGGTGGGGACAGTGGCGAGGGGAGAGTGGGACAGTGGTGGGGACAGTGGGGACAGTGGGACAGTGGTGGGGGCGGTAGTGGTGGGGGCAGTGGTGAGGGTGGTGGTGAGGACGGTGGTGGGACAATGGGACAGTGGTACAGTGGGGAGAGTGGTGGGGACAGGGGACAGTGAAACAGTGGTGGACAGTGGGGACAGTGGGACAGAGGTGGGGCAGCTGTAGGGACAGTGAGGGCAGTGGGACCGCGGCGGGGACAGTGGGGACAGTGGAACAGTGGGGACAATGGGGGGAGTGGGACCGTGGTGGGGACAGGGTCCCACTGGAGGCTTCGGAGGAGCTCCCTATGGGACCACGAAGCGCTGTACTGGGTGGGTGAAAATGCCAAATTGGGCGTGGGGGACGCATGCGGGCGGTCCCTCTGGGGGCGGGCCACGAAACGTTGTACTGGGTGGGTGACAATGCCAAGTTGGGTGTGGGGAACGCATGCGGGCGGTCCCACTGGGGGCTTCGGTGGGGCACCCTATTGGACCACGAAGCGCTGTACTGGGTGGGTGAAAATGCCAAATTGGATGTGGGGGACGCATGCGGGCGGTACCACCGGGGGCTTCGGTGGAGCTCCCTATGGGGTCACGAAGCGTTGTATTGGTTGGGTGAAAATGCCAAATTGGGCGTGGGGAACGCATGCGGGCGGTCCCACTGGGGGCTTCGGTGGAGCTCCGTATGGGGCCACGAAGCGCTGTTCTGGGTGGGTGAAATTGCCAAATTGGGCGTGGGGGATGCTTGCGGGCGGTCCCACTGGGGGCTTCGGTGAGGCTCCCTATGGGGCCACGAAGCGTTGTACTGGGTGGGTGAAAATGCCAGATTGGGTGTGGGGGACGCATGCGGGCGGTCCCACTGGGGGCTTCGGTGGAGCTCCCCATGGGGTCACGAAGCGCTGTGCTGTGTGGGTGAAACGCATGGAAGAAGGAGGAGGGAGGGGAGGAGGGGGAGGAGGAGGAGAAGATGAGTGAGGAAAGGAACGCGGGGACCGTCTCTTCAAAACGAGGACCAACACTACAGGGTGGTTGGAACAAATATATCCCCACCAGCCCTTCCGTTGACCTGGAGCTGTTCTGGGTTCCCCGCGCTTCTGAGTCGCAGCGTATTTCGCCCCTGCGCGCTTAGTGGGTAATTTAGGCCATTGCTACTGTGCAATTCCCTGACGGCGCCTGGCACCCCTGCGCTCTCGCGAACAAAAAAATATCCCCACCAGCCCCTTCAGCCCCCGACGCCGCTCAGCATTCCTCGGCGGCAGTTTTGGCAACCGTGAGTGCGCTCGCTGGGTAGTTAGGCTCCGCCCGTAGCCCGGGTCGACCCTTAACGCCGCCTGCGCCTTCGCTTGCGGCTGCGCCAAAAACGTATCCCCACCAGCCCATCCAGAATCCAGAAACGATGTCCAGGCGAGTTGAGGTGATCAGGGAAGTGCTGGAGCATGGACGGCCGAACCGTGCGAAAGAGGGAGGAGGAGAAGAAGGAGGCTGGATGGATGGATGAGGGAGTGGTGAGAATACATATGAACATGAGGATGATGGTGATGATGATGATGATGGTCATGATGGTGATGATGATGGTGGTGATGGTGATGATGACGGTGGTGATGATGGTGATGATGATGATGATGATGATAATGATGAGGAGGAGGAGAAGGAAGGAGGAACATGATGAGGAGGGCGAGCAAAAGGTCCAGAGGTCTCTTGGATACCTCCTGTCGGAGCCTCTTGGGATATTGCTTGGGCGCTTCTTGGTGGCCTCTTGGGACGTCTTGGGGGTCTCTTGGCGGTCCAGGGGGGCTCTTGGGCGTCTTGGGTGCCTCGGGGGGGTCTCTTGGGGCCGCTTGGGGCCCTCTTGGGGGCCTCCTGGGGGCCTCTTGGGGGCCTCTGGGGCCATCTTGGGACCATCTTGGCACCTCTTGGGGCCTCTCGGGCGCTTCTTCGGGCCATATTGGAGGAAATCGATCAAAGAAGAAGGGAACGCAAGTTAGCGCTGCCCCCCCAAGAGGCCAAAATGGTGCCAACACCCTAGTAAACCAATGATGTTGGCTTCCTCGCCGAGGCCGTTTTGGACGCTCCAATGGGTCGCGGTACCGCCCGTCCAGGTCCAGGGGAGAGCGTATGGGGGGAGGCCGAGGGGGAATAAGGGGGGTGGAAAAGAAAACTCCCCAAACAACCTACGTCCAGAGGGCTGGTGGGATTTGGGAGCTCGGGTTGGATTGGGATGGCCTGGTAGGTACATTCGGGCCGAGGTATAAGATCGAGGTCTGTTCGGGGAGGGTATCCTGCTGTTCTTCGTTCGTGCTTCTTGGATGTTCTTGTGCATCCTGGGGAGGGTACCCTTGTGTGTTCTGCTTGTTTTGGCCGACGGAGGCATGTTCCTGAGGGACGTTCTTCTGGCCTAGGTCCGACTGTACAGTCAACCCGCATAGTGAGAACGGGCAACCTTCCCAAGGATATCCTTGCATCTTTGCCCCTTCGGCCCATCATTAGCGACTTTCGCTGGCCAACCTCGATCGATCAACGTTTACATGGGCCTCCAAGGCCCTTCAATCCTTACCGCGCATCCTTATTATACGCCCCGTTCTCAGTGCGTCGGGGGGCGGGCTTTCTTATCCGTTTCAGGGACCACGCTCTGGGGCGTGACAGCGAGGCGATTGCGAGTAGAGCCGAGTGTCAAGATTTCTTTCCACTGGCAGGCAAGTCCAAACATCGAGAGGCGGCCCTCTTCTGCTGCCCGATAAAAAATACCCTTGTGGTACGCATTGGCCGTAGTCGTTCCAGTCCTCCAGTCCTTGCTGCGCTGCCGCGGCGGCCGCCGCAAGCCCGGAGCCCTCCGCCGCAGGCCTCGCGGTGCTCCGAGCGGGAGCAGGCGCTGCAGTGGTGGGGCGGAGCCGCGGGGCCCGCTGGCGCCTCAGGACGCACGGGGAGCAGCGCCGTCTCCTCCTCCTCCTCCTCCTCCTGCCCTTCCTCCTCCTCCTCCTCCTCCTCATCCTCCTCCTGCCTCCTCCTCCTCCTCCTCCTCCTTCCTCCTCCTCTCCTCCTCCTCCTGCTCCTTCTCCTTCTCCTCCTGCCCTTCCTCCTCCCTCCTCGTCCTCCTCCTCCTCCTCCTCCTCCTCCTCCTCGCCCATGTCCGATCGGGTCGAGTCTCGCCGAAGGCATGGGCCGTCGGCGACATTGGATGCACGTATTGCTCCCCCCTGGGCCACTCGCCCCTGCCGTCGCCCCCGGCCCATCCCCGCCTCGGCGGCGAGCCCGGGGGTGAGTGCAGAGGGGGTGGTTCTCCGAAGGGCTTATGCGGCCCGTCCTCCTCCTCCTCCTCCTCCTCCTCCTCCTCCTCCTCCTGCTTCTCCTCCTCCTCCTCCTCCTCCTCCTCCTCCTCCTCCTCCTTGGGTCGCTTACGGCCCCGGGGGAAACCGTGCAAGTGCAGAGGAGGCCTGCCTTCTCAGTCGTCTCGGAAGGCCACGGGCCGTCCGGGAGGTTCTCTGAGCCTTCCCTCTCTCTGGACTTTGGGCCTCCCAAGCGGGGTCGGAGGAGGTGGGGTCGGAGGATCGCGCCGCATCGCCGATGCATCGGCGATGCGGCTCGACGTGGGGCCCGACTTTCTCCACGCCGACGGCGCCCATGCAGCGCCGACGTCGCCAGTGCATCGTCGACGCATCGCCACTGCATCGTCGATGCATCGTCGATGCGGCGCGATCCTCCGACCCCATCCACTCCGACCCCAGCCAGGAGACCTCTTCTCAGAAAGGCAGAGGGCATCTGGGAGCGCCGCCAACCATCCCCACCGGCCACCCCACCCCCGGTACGGGGGGATAGGTCTCGCCAGACACGGCGGGAACAGCACGTCTCACCAGCCGCGACGGGGCACGGCAGACACGTTGGGAACAGCGCATCCCCACACCAGCACAGATCCCCACCAGGGCCGGGGACGACAGACACGACGGGACACGACCACAGGCCCCACCAGACGCGACGGGAACGATGGGGCAAGCCGGCCCGTGGGGCCAAAAGGTCGTGGCAGTGGGGATGGGGCCCGAGGAAGCGCTGCTCGCAGCAGCAGCGACGGGCGACGCGATGTCTGTGCATGTCCATCGCGCCCCATGGCCAGGCCCATGCCGCGCCCAGGGCCTGCGCGTGTGCCTCCCGGGCCACGCCACGGGGGGCGCATGCGCCGTCCCTAGGCCCAGGATGGGCCCGGCCTCGGGGGCGGTGGGAGCATCTGCAGACCTCGACGCCCTGCAAGAGCCGGCGCGAACCTGCACCTCCGGAGGCCTGCGCGGCTTTCTCGGGTCGGCGCGCCAGCGGCTGCGCCGGAGGTGCCGCCACTGGACGGGGCCCAGCGAGATCCGCGCTGGCCTCCAACAGGCGCGTTTCTGCCGTGCCGTTGCTCCAGGTGGGCTCGCGAGCCCCACGATGGAGCCTCGAGCCTCGACTCTCGACCCTTCATCCGAACAGGTCCGAAGCCTCGATCCTCGCGCTTCGATCCCCGGGCAGGCAACGGGCAGCCCAGCGCCTGTCGGCACCCGATGCGCCGTGGCCCCGTGGCAACCAGCGACGGCGAGGACGGCGACGGCGACGATCGGGTCGGGCGACGGGGGGGGGGCTGGGGAAAGTTTGGGGCACCAGCCCAGATCTCCGACGATACGTTTTTTTTGTTTTTTGTTTTTCAACCCTTTTATACTGGTCTTCGCTCGTCCACCGCCGACCTGCCCAGGACTGGGCGGCGGCCTCAGCCTCAGCCTTGTGCTGCCGGCTCCTCGTCCTCGGGGACCCCCAGCCGCAGCAGCCCAGCGCGCCGCTCGCAGCCTGCTGCCGCCAGCGCCAGAACCAGTGTTGCCCCTCCGCCTGCGGGGCTTCTGCATGCGTGGCGCTCCTCCTCCCTGTTCTCCCTCCCCCCCCTGCTCGCTCTCCCCTCCCTCTGCGCGCCGCCATGGCGCCTGGGCCGCTGCCTCCTGTAGCCACCACGCGTCCAGGATCCTGGGCCTGGCCTTGCCGTCTGCTCCCCCACGCTGACCCAGCTTTTTCTGCTGGATGCAGTCCGACCTGGATGCACTCTTGCTTGCCGCGCCTTGCCCTGTGCCCCCGCCTGGGCGGCGCGCGGCCCGCCGGCCCTGCACCTCGCGCTCTGCGTCGGCGCCCTGCTGCCTCGTCTGCTTGCAGTGCCCGTGCTGGGCCCCGCCTCTCACCACCCACCAAACCACCCCAACCCAACCCGAAGGCTCAGATTTACCCTCGATTTCCAGTGGGGGGGGTCGGGGAACATCGACAAAACACGTGTGGAACCCTTCCCCCCCCAACCCGAAAATTTGGGTCTTCGGATTGGGTTGGGGTGGTCTGGTAGGTAGTCAGCCTCCGCGGGCGCACCGGCGCAGCGGCCCGGCTGCTGCTCCAGTCCCCGGCGGCGGCGCTGGCCGCGGGGCTGCGCGTTGAAAGAGAAAACGTCGTCGGTTCTCTGTGGACAGCTGCGTGCAGAGGGTTTCGGTCTTGTCACCCGGGCATTCTCTCCGATGCACGTGCGCTTCCAGAGCCAGGAGGCACCCGGGAAACCGGCCACGCGGCAGGTTTGTGCCGCGTCGACGTGGCAGCAGCCCTAGCGCCAGCGCGCGCGTTCGAGGTTGAACGCCAGCGTTGACCCACGATTGTCCGACATCGAACGGAACGATGTGCTTAGACATTGCGATCGTTCACGGTTGAAATGTCCACGCGGTGTCCAAAACCAGCGCGCAGGTCGTGACGACGCGGACCTGCCGTGCGTGAGCTGACTCGCTGACCCCACTTTTGGGAAGTAGCTCATGGGAACTTTTTTTGTTTCGGGATTCCGTGTGTAAAGTGCACCAGCGTGCGCTGGCGCCTGTTGGTCGATGAAAAAGCATATTCTTTTGCATTTTTGACCACTATTGCGAGTCTTTCTGACTATTTTTCATTTTTGGTCCAAAATCCTCCTGCCCACATCGTCGACTCGCGAGTCGATTTGGAGTCGATTCGGCGTCGATGTGCGTCGAGCGGGGTCGGTTGGTGCTGATTTCGCAAGAGCCAGCACGATGACTTCGGAGGCTCCCGCGAGCTGCCGGTGAGTGACCCCCCAGCGCTGCCGCCCCCCGTGCCGTCCGACCCGACCACGGCGGCAGGGCCGCTGGCCCCCGTGGCGGCGGCGACCCGACACGGGGCCTAAAACGACGCGAAGATCGGGACAAAATCGGATCTCGGGGCCTAAAACGACGCGAAGATCGGGATAACTCGAAATCTCTTAGGATCGGCGGGTTTGGAGGATGTCTTGGGCGCCGCGGCCGCTCCAGAGCGTTCCGGAACGCTCTGAGAGCGCTCCGGAACGCTCTGGAGCGATTTATCCCGATCCCAGCCCCGTTTTAGGGCCACCGGAAGTCCCGACCCCCTTCCCCAGGGCTGGCTTTTCATCCCGAGCCGTCTTCCGTTAGTTCGGGAAGCCGGCCAGGGCCCCCAGAGGTCGAACATGAGGGGACATTCCCATCTTGATTCTTCTGGCGGCGTCGACATCCCCTGCTATTTGACGCGGCAGCAGCATCGTGAAGGATCACGCCCAGAGTCTCCGACCCCACTCGTCGGCTGCCCATTTTTCGGGCTGGATCGATCTGAGAGGGCCCCAGGTCCCGACGCTGGGCAAAAACGCCTGGCCCGCAAAAGTGGAGACGTCAAGATCTCTCGGGGCCCCCCCCCCGTCTGTGACGACGACGATACCGACGGCGGCGACGACGGCGGCGACGACGACGGCGCGAGGAAGATTTCCAGGACGACGGCGACGACGGCGACGACGACGAAGACGGCGACGACGACGCTAAGATCTTCAGGGCGACGGCAACGAGGGCGACGACGGCGGCGACGGCGGCGACGAGGCGACGCTGGCGACGACGACGCCGACGACGACGACGACGACGGCCACGACGACGACGACGGCGAGCACGGCGCTGACGACGGCGACGACGACGCTAAGATCTTCAGGACGACGGCGACGACGGCGACGACGACGACGGCGACGGCGACGACGCCGACGGCGACGACGGCGACGCCGACGACGAAGATCGTCAGGACGACGGCGACGACGGCGACGACGGCGAGGACGGCGACGACGACGGCGACGTCGACGCCAAGATCTTCAGGACGACGGCAACGACGGCGACGGCGACGACGAAGATTTTCAGGACCACGTCGACGACGGCGACGACGACGAAGACGACGGCGACGTCGACGCCAAGATCTTCAGGACGACGGCGACGATGGCAACGACGGCGGCGACGAGGCGACGTTGACGGCGACGACGCCGACGGCGACGACGGCGGCGACGACGACGGCCACGACGACGACAACGGCGACGACGGCGACGACGACGGCGACGACGACGCCAAGATCTTCAGGACGACGGCGACGACGGCGACGACGGCGACGACGGCGACGACGACGACGACGGCGACGACGACGACGCCGACGGCGACGACGGCGACGACGATGACGGTGACGACGAAGATCTTCAGGACGACGGCGACGACGGGGACGACGAAGACGACGGCGACGGCGGCGACGAGGTGGCGCTGCCGACGACGACGGCGACGATGGCCACGACGGCGAGGACGGCGACGACGGCGACGGCGCCCTCCGCGGCCGCCGCCCGTGCGCCCAGAGGAGCCGTCGGCGCGCTCGGGCTGCTGCGGTCGCTGGAGAGGCTCCTGGCCGCCGCGCGGTTGGAAGCGGAGCGCCCCCCTGGCGGGCCCCACGCTCTCACCGGTGGCGGCTCACTTTTGGCGCCTCCTCGATCATTTTTGTTGTTGTTGTTGTTGTTGTTGTTGTTGTTGTTGTTGTTGTTGTTGTTGTTGTTGTTGTTGTCGTTGTCGTTGTCGTTGTTGTTGTTGTCGTTGTCGTTGTCGTTGTCGTTGTCGTTGTCGTTGTCGTTGTCGTTGTCGTTGTCGTTGTCGTTGTCGTTGTCGTTGTCGTTGTCGTTGTCGTTGTCGTTGTCGTTGTCGTTGTCGTTGTCGTTGTCGTTGTCGTTGTCGTTGTCGTTGTCGTTGTCGTTGTTGTTGTTGTTGTTGTTGTTGTTGTTGTTGTTGTTGTTGTTGAATTCTCATTTCTGAAGAATAATGATTGTTGATCCCCCCCACCGGTGCATACTGTTTTTTCTCAATCAAAGTGTGCCCCTCGACGCTCGCACCCTGGAATTTCCTGCAATTGGAATTGGAATTGCGTTGGAATTTCTGGCAATTTGCCCAAACGCCGCGCTCCCGACACCCAGGCACCCAGGAATCGCGCCTGTTGTGGCCCCATGTGCATGCCCTTCGTGGCCCCGCTGTCGCCATTTGTGTCCCCCTCACTTTCCTAGGTGGCCCAGTTGCTACCCTCAGTGGCCCCATAGTTGACTTCTGTGGCCCCGCATTATCTGCACTTCGTGGCCCCCGCTCGCACGCGCTCTTCGCGGCCCCACACGCATTCCCTTCGTGTCCCCGCTGTCGCCCTTCGTGGTTTATTTCCTGCCCTTCGTGGCCCTGCTGTCGTTCTCTCTCGCTCTCGGTTTTCGCTTGTCGTCGCCGTCGTCGTCGTCGTCGTCGTCGCCGTCGTCTTCGACGTCGTCGTCGTCGTCGTCGTCGTCGTCGTCGTCGTGGTCGGTCCCCTGTCCGTCCCTCTTGGGGTCGGGTCGTCGGTCCGCGGCCGCCCCGCCGATCAGCGCTGCCGCTGGCCAGGCCGACGGTCCGCGGCCGCCCCGCCGCTTGCCGGGGCCCGGCCTGCAGGGAAGAAAGGTATACCCCCCAAAGGGGCTCGATCGAAGACGCAGAGGGCGGGTATCGAGGGTTTGGGAAATACGCGTCATTGGACACTCGAGCATATAAGGGCGATCAGTCTTCAAATCGTTGTTGTTGTTGTTGTTGTTGTTGTTGTTGTTGTTGTTCAGTTCTCATTCCTGAAGAATAATTATTGTTGTTCCCCCCCCACGGGTGCATATTGTTTTTTCTGAATCAAAGTGCGCCCTTCGCCGCTCGCACCTTGTTTTTTGACAGGGAAAGTCTTCCTGCTCAAACTGGCCCCCTGGCCCCCGGGTTACAACAACAACAACAACAACAACAACAACAATAACAACAACAACAACAACAACAACGGCTCCCGCTTGAGACTTCCTTACAATTTAGCCAAGACCCCCGCTCCCGCCCGAGACTTCTTCGCATTTTATTCAGGAATCGCGCTCTCGCTTGGGACTTCCTTACAATTTTTTCAGGAATCGCTCTCCCGGCGCTCTGGAGTCGCGCTCTCGCTGGAGACTTGCTTGCAACTTACTGAAGAATGGCCTTGCGTTGGAATTTCCTACAACTTGCCCAAGCGTCGCGCTCCCGACACCCAGGCACCCAGGAGTCGCGCCGGTTGTGGCCCCATGTGCATGCCCTTCGCGGCCCCGCTGTCGCCATTTGTGCCTCCCTCATTGTCCTACGTGGCCCAGTTGCTACCCTCAGTGGCCCCATAGTTGCCTTCTGTGGCCCCGCACTATCTGCACTTCGTGGCCCCCGCTCGTTCCGCTCTTCGCGGCCCCATACGCATTCCCTTCGTGTCCCCGCTGTCGCCCGTCGTGGCCTACTTCGTGCCCTTCGTGGCCCTGCTGTCGTTCTCTCTCGCTCTCGCTTTCGCTCGTCGTCGCCGTCGTCGTCGTCGTCGTCGTCGTCGTCGCCGTCGTCTTCGACGTCGTCGTCGTCGTCGTCGTCGTCGTGGTCGGTCCCCTGTCCGTCCCTCTTGGGGTCGGGTCGTCGGTCCGCGGCCGCCCCGCCGATCAGCGCTGCCGCTGGCCAGGCCGACGGTCCGCGGCCGCCCCGCCGCTTGCCGGGGCCCGGCCTGCAGGGAAGAAAGGTATACCCCCCAAAGGGGCTCGATCGAAGACGCAGAGGGCGGGTATCGAGGGTTTGGGAAATACGCGCCATTGGACACTCGAGCATTCCAGGGCGAACAGTCTTCAAATCATTGTTGTTGTTGTTGTTGCTGTTGTTGTTGCTGTTGTTGTTGTCCTCGTTGTTGTTGTTGTTGTTGTTGTTGTTGTTGTTGTTGTTGTTGTTGTTGTTGTTGTTGTTGATGTTGTTGTTGTTGGTGTTGTTGTTGTTGTTGTGGTTGTTGTTGTTGTTGTTGTGGAGTTGGTGTTGGAGTTGGTGTTGGAGTTGGTGTTGGTGTTGGTGTTAGTGTTGGTGTTGGTGTTGTTGGTGTTGGTGTTGGTGTTGTTGGTGGTGGTGTTGTTGTTGGTGGTGGTGGTGGTGTTGGTGGTGGTGGCGTTGGTGTTGGTGTGGTTGGTGTTATTGTTGTTGGTGTTGGTGTTGGTTTTGTTTTCTGGGCCACAATGCGCGTTATGCCCCCCCCCCCCCCCCCCCCCTCTCCCCCCCCTCCCCGCCCCTCCACAACGTGACGCTCCTCCCCGCCCAGCGCGTCCCCAGCGTTGCCGCAGAGCGTCCGAGAGCGTCCACCACCACAGTCTGTCACGGCGGGGGGCGCGGCGTCACGTCATGCTTCCCCTGGCCCCCCCCCAACGCCCGTTGTCGCCGCGAATAAGACAATGCTCTCCTCCTCCTCCTCCCTCCTCCTCCTCCTCCTCCTCCTCCTCCTCCTCCTCCCCTGGTTCATTACGTGTCCGATCCTGGGTAGCCTTCTTCGTAGGAAACATCAGCACAGCTCTTGGAGCTCTATTTTCGCCCATCGCCGCCCGCTGCCGATCGTCCGATGACTCCCCTCGCAGCCCCATCGGCGCCCTTCCCACGTCTTCGTTGCTCGTGGCGCCCCGGGCGGCTCCTGCCCTGGGATCCTGTCGCTTCGGTTTTTTTGTTCGAGCTGGACGCTTTCGCCTGGTCTCGGGCACCAGGACCCTCTCAGATCGGTCTGGTTCGAAAAACGGCGCAGAACTGGGGCTGTGGTCGTGGTTTTGTTGGCGATGTTGTGGTTTTCGCTGCGTCGGATCTCTGGGTTCTCCCAGCGCATCATCACTGTGGCCATCTTCTGCGAGGGCTCTTGAGGATCTGGGGGCACTCAACTTCGTGCTTCGAGGCACGGCTACGGATATAATTGCACACGTGCTCTGATCATGAGCAGACTTCCCCCTTCCCCCTTGCCGCTCACCCGTCGCGATCATTATGCCGCCTCGTCCTGTTCCCACCGTCGTTGTTGGAGGCTGTTTTTTTGCATCGGCGATGCCCCGGGTTGTCCGCAGAGGGGGGGGAGAGGCTGGCCGATAACCTGACTTTCGCGCTGTGGGCAGTCCCGCATATCCTCGCGCGCACCAGTGCTGCGGCCCCTGCAGCTCCTAACGATGCTGCGACGATGCCATTATTCGTGCTGCGACGGTGCGGGCGCCGTCTGGGAATGCCTAATGACATGTCTGGGCAGCTCAACCGACAGGGTGAGGTTATCCAGGGTGGGTGGGTGGAGCCCTTCAACCCAGCTTATCGCCAGACCCTTAACAAAAACAGCCTTTCGTGAGCTCACCACTCTTGCCCTGGTACCAGTGCTCCTTTTCTCCTCGCGCTTGTGTTCTCTTCGCTTGCTATGGACTTCTCTGCAGCCTTCTGCCGAGGTGTTGTTTCTCTCAACCATCCTGTTGGATCCTCGTTTTGGAGAGACGGTCCGCGCGTCTCCGTTGCCATCCTCCTGCCCTCCTAGCTTCTGCCCTTGTCAGTATGCGTCCCCCCCCACGCAGTGCAGCGCTTCGTGGCCCCATAGGGAGCTCCACCGAAGGCCCCAGTGGCTGCTCTCGCATGCAGGACCTCCACGCAGTGCAGTTTTTTGTGGCTCCTATCGGGAGCTCCCCTCCTTGCGTCAGCCCTCATCAATTTGCGTCCCCCCACCCAGTACAGCGTTTCGTGGCCCCGTAAGAAGCTCCACCGAAGGCACCAGTGGCTGCATTCGCGCATTCGGGACCCTCACCCAGTACAGCGATTCGTGCCCTCATAGGGAGCTCCACCGAAGGCCCCAGTTGCGGTCTTCGCATGCGTCTTTCTCACCCAGTACAGCGCTTCGTGGCCTCATAGGGAGCTTCAGCGAAGGCCCCAGTAGCTGCGCTCGCATCCGGTTTCCCCACCCAGTACAGCGTTTCGTGGCCCCATATGGAGCTCCACAGACGGCCCCAGTGGCTATGCTCGCATGCGTTCCCCCCAAGCTGCACAGCGTTTCGTGGCCCCATAGGGAGCTCCACCGAAGGCTTCAGCGGCGGTGACCGCAGTCGGTTCCCCCACCCAGTACAGCGTTTCGTGGCCCCATAGGGAGCTCCACCGAAGGCCCAAGGGGCTGCTCTCGCATGCGGCTCCCCCGCCCAGTGCAGCGTTTCGTGGCCCCATAGGGAGCTGCGCCGAAGGCAAGGCCCCAGTGGCGGTGTCCGCATGCGTTTCCCCCACCCAGTACAGCGTTTCGTGGCCCCATATGGAGTTCCGCCGAAGGTCCCAGTGGCGGCCCCGCCCTGTTGCGGCGCACCCCTCACACGTTTCGCGGCCCCGCGGGTTCCGCGTGAAGTCTCAGTTGCAGCGCCCACATGGCGGCCCCGTCCCACATCTGCACACCCTTCGCATGCTCCATGCCCCACGAGGAGATCCCCCGGAGGCGATACCCGCAACGACGGTACTCACAACTGCAAATGTTTGGGTCTTTCGCCAGGGTGCTTGTTTTTACGCCGCTGCTCGTCGCCCTTTAGCGCTCAGTTGCGCCGTTGAAGCGTGTCCTTCGGCTGCGCGCCCGGGGGGGGGAGGGAGGTGAGAAGAGGTAGGCGTTCTCAGAAGGCTCGGAAGGCCTCGGGCTTTCTGAGAAGTTCTCTAGGCCTTCCCCCAAGGCACAAACAACTTCTCAGAAGGCGCGGGGGTGAGAAGTCCCGCCGCCTTCGCAGAAGGCATTCTTCCTCTCATCTTTCCCCCGCTCGCCGCCGATTGATTCCTGACGGTGTGGGACACTTTAGATGTGCGCGAGCAGTTGTTCCTTGTAGAGATAGCCAACAGGTTGGGGCAGCCTCGGGCCTAACTCCTGATGAAGTATTTGGGCAAGCATTCCATCGCAGCTCTTCAGGCTGCGCAGGTGATATGATCACAGCCTTCGGGCATTCAACTTGGATCGGAGATTCTGAAAACGAGAATTTCCACTGGTTGATTGCTCATGCCTCTTCAATCCGACGCGATCTGATTTTTGTTTCGCTTGGCCTGTTCCGAGGAGCCATCACTTGCACCGCTTGGTGTCCGAGCTGTGTGTAATCTTGCGAAGCTGCTTCTGCGGACGGGAAGGGGCATTTCGGGTGACTGTCTGCATAGAAATTTTAGCAGGGCTTGGAGCAGGAATTCAGCAGGGACACAATTCCTCGAAGCAGGCCCCCTCCCGTGATAGATTACAGCGCATGTCTGGGGCCGACGCCCTGTGACGGGAGGGCCCCCTTCGACCCTGCAGAGTCTGCGGCGATGTTCTGCCCGTCACTACTTCGTGTGATGAGCTGTTGTTCCCGCCACGTGGGATGGTTCTATAGTAGAACTTGTTGCATCCATATTGAGTTGCTCGTCTCGGTAGTCATGGTATTTCGCGCGCGAGAGCGTGTCGTATGAGAGTCGATGCGGTTCGGATGAGCATCAATGGCGGTTTTTGTTTCTGCGAACCATGTGTGCCATTGTCGCTGTGATGCAGCATGCGCACGGACAACCGCTCAGAGTTCGGGTTGTCATGCTTCCTCGTTGTGTCAGCCTGGCGACAGGATGGTGATGTATTCAGCAGTGCGGTTTTGGGTGCCTGACGCCATTGCCTGTGCATGGGTGTGCGAGTGTGACCAGCTGCACAGCTGCAGGAATGGCAGGGCCCTCCGGCAATGCGACGTCTGCCTCACGCGCCACACGTTCTCAGCGGCACTTCCAATACGCAGTGCAGCCGAGCGACTGGTTAACCCGCTTTTGACACCGGTACCCGATCTTCTGGCGCGGTGTCGATGCCGCACGGAGCACCGGGGCCGAGAAGGTGTGGCCCACGGGGTCGCCCCGGGAAGGCTGCAGAGGCCCTGTTTGCCAGTCAGCGCCCCTTCTGACATGCCCCGACGTGCTGTCGGCACGGTGGCGGGCACGAGTCTGAATCCTTCGTGCTTCGCGTGTCCCCGCCAGCACAGACACGCTGCCGATGAGAGCCGATCTTCTCGAGGCTCCCTTGAGGTCCTCTCTTGGGGCTCTCTCGGGGCGGTCTTGGGGCCTCCTTGGAGTTTGTTTTGGGGGTCTTGGGGCCCTCCTTGGGCCCCTCTTTGGGCCCCTTGCGAGCCCTGGAGGGTCTCTTGGGGCTGTCTTGGAGGCCAAGCGGGGGGGATCCCTTTTTGTTTAGCCCCCCCACTCCCCCTCAATATACTTCAAAACCGTCTTTTTGGGCTCTCTGGGGGCTCGGGGCTGTCTGGAGGGCCTCTTGGATTCCTTTTCGGGGCTCTCTTGGGCCATCTTGGGGCCATCTTGAGGCCGCAGAAGCCCATCGAAGGCGAACCGGCGTGAATACACAATCCATTCTTTTTAGGATTAGTTGGACGGAATTTGCGCTCTTGGGGGGATCCGTGGGTGGTTCGGAGAGCACTTGGAGCCGTCTTGTGCCCATCTTGCGGCCTCTTGACCCATATTCGGATATCTTGCGCCATCTTGAAGGCCATCTTGGAGCATCGGAGGCCCTCTTGGAGCCATCTCGGGTGAATCAGGACCCCCTAACACCTCCGTCCCCCTCCCATCCGAACCACTGGGAGCAGGTAGGGGGAGGGATAAACCCTTCCCCGAAGGGGAAGAATGGGGAACTTCTTAGGCCACGCGGAACCATGGGAATCATGGATGGTTTTCGGTTTTCGGCGCATGTGCGCACATGCGCAGATCTGCGTGTACGATGTTCTGGCTCGGCTGTTTCCCCAGATGGCGAACGTTGTAAGGGGTCGATCGCGTGAAGACGATCAACCAGTATAGGAAGATGCCAACATGTTTTGCCGCCGTCGTGCCGTGCCGGGCGGAGCCGTGCCGTGCCAGCGTGCCGTGCCTGCCCTCCAGCATGCGACACTGTGCCGCCATCGTGCCGTGACGTGCCGCGTCGAGCCACGCCGTGCCGCGCCGTGCTCGCGCTCCTGCGCCGTGGGAGCAGCGTGCCGCCCCCCGCGCGCCGTGCCGTGGCCTCGCCTCGCTGGGCCGTGCCGTGCCAGCGTGTCCTGCCTCGCCCGCGCGCCAGGATGCGACAGGTGCGTTGCCCGCGTGCCGTGCCGTGCGCGTGCCGGGCCGTGCCGTGCCAGCGTGCCGTGCCCGCGTGCGGTGCCCGCCTGCCGTGCCCGCGAGCCGTGCCGTGCGTGCCGCAGAGAGTGTGCCGCCCGCGTGCTGTGGTTCGCCGTGCCGCGCGCGTGCCGTGCGCGTGCCGTGTCGTGCTGTGCCCAGCGTGCCGTGCACGCGCATGCCGATGTTGGCATACCATGTGGGCGACGCAGAAAAGCGGGGCCGTCTGCGCCGACATTGGCGCGTGAGCTGCCCGCGTGAGCTCCCGCGTGAGCGCCCTCGTCTCCAATGTGGCGTGCCGCGCGAGGAGCCCGCGTAAGCCACCGCGTGAGGTTGCTGTGCAATCTCGCGTAAGACCACCTTTTGATCGTTGCTCATATGCTTTCTCATGCATCGTTTTTGTTCAGAGTCTCTGTGCATGTGCAATCGTTTTCCACATGCTCAGGCATGACCGTCATTGTTACACTTCTACCTGCACGAGTGTATTCGCTTCGAATGAAGTGAGCTTTGTTCACTGCGAAACATCTTGATGTGTTTCTGGTCGCTTTACGGCAACTGCGTAGTTGGGCTTTGGTTCAAGGACGCATCTGCGCGGGCGCGACCTGTATACAACAGTCATCACTCGCTGACAGGTGAAACAATACACGGCGTTCCATGGTGCGCACGGTTCCGAACATAACAATGCCATATGCAATCGCGCGCAACTTTTCGCTTTCACTCGATATAGCCTTGAAGGCCTGTTGGCCGTTTTGACGAAACTAGTTGGGTGCCAGGTGCACTGTTACGTTTGATCGTAGTATGCGTTCTTACCAGTGCCGTTGTTTCAGATATACGGTTTATGCTGCGAGGCACAGCGGCATGTCACGTGTTTAGTGTTTTACATCGTTTCATATATGAGCACATCAGATGGTTCCATCTGTCCACGACTATATATATATATATAAATAAATTATACACACATACATATATATATATATATATATATATATATATATATATATATATCATACAATATAACGTAATATAACCGAATACGCCCTCTCGGGGGTTTCACACCTCCCCGTGACATCTGCGTAACGCTCCCGGTACCGTGCTTCCCGGCCTTCCCGGGAGCCCCCCAAACGCCCAAGGACAGCCTAAGACGACCCCAAGAAGCCCCCATAATGTAAAAAAACGGCCCAAGACGCTCCCAGGCAACCCAAGACAGCCTTCGGGCGGCTCTCCAGGCTCCCAGGAGGCCTCCAAGAGACCTCAAGAGAGCTCCGAGAGGCCTCCCGAGAGCGCCCGAAGAACCTAAGATCGTTAATTGTCATTGTTTTTTGTCGAGGTTTTGGACTTCTCATTATTTCATGCTTCCAACGCTCCAAGACGGCCGAAGAGGCCCCCGAGACCATCCCAAGACCGCCCCACAGGCCCCCTAAGACGGCCCCAAGACGGGCCAAAGAGGCCCCAAGACTGCCGAAGAGGCGCCCAGGACAGCTCCAGACCACCCCAGGTCAGGCCCAAGATGGGCCCAAGAGCGAGAGCAGGAGGCCTCCAGAGACCTCCGAGAGGACTCCAGGACCCCCCAGAGGCCCCCAACACACACTCCCAGACCCCTGAGAGGCCCCAAGAAATCCCCGACAAGGCCCCAAAAACAGTCCAAGAGAGCTTCGAGATCCGTCCCGAGAGAGCCCGACAAGGGTAAACTCGTTGACTTCCAATGGTTTTTCTACGTTTTTCGCCTTCTCACGTTTTCCCATTTCCAACGCTCATAGACGGAGGAATTTGAAAAGATAGCCTGACGAAATACCCAACCATATGCAGATGCGAGTGCCGCATTGTGGGTACCGCTTTCGGTGGAGCTCCCTACGGGGCCACGAAGCGTGTGAGGGGTGTGCCCGAATGGGCGGGGGGACGCATGCGAACCCTGCCACTGTGGGGCTTTTGGTGGAGCTCCCCATGGGGCCACGAAGCGTGTGAGGGGTGTGCCGAAATGGGCGGGGGGACGCATGCGAACCCTGCCACTGGGGCCTTCGGTGGAGCTCCCTGTGGGGCCACGAAACGTGTGAGGGGTGTGCCGAAATGGGGGGGGGCATGCGAACTCTGCCACCGGGGCCTTCGGTGGAGCTCCATGCGGGGCCACGATGCGTGTGAGGGGTGTGCCGAAATGGGCGGGGGGACGCATGCGAACCCTGCCACTGGGGCCTTCGGTGGAGCTCCCTATGTGGCCACGAAACGTGTGAGAGGTGTGCCGAAATGGGCGGGGGGACGCATGCGAACCATGCCATTGGGGCCTTTCGGTGGAGCTTCCTACGGGGCCACGAAGCGTGTGAGGGGTGTGCCGAAATGGGCGGGGGGACGCATGCGAACCCTGCCATTGTGGGGCCTTTCGGTGAAGCTCCCTATGGGGCAACGAAGTGTTTGAGGGGTGTGCCAGACTGGGCGGGGCCATTGGGGCCTTCGGTGGAGCTACGAAGCGTGTGAGGGGTGTGCCGAAATGGGCGGGGTGACGCATGCGAATCCTGCCGTTGGGGCCTTCTATGATGCTCCCTATGGGGCCACGAAGCGTGTGAGGGGTGTGCCAGACTGGGCGGGGGGACGCATGGGAACCCTGCCACTGGGGGCTTCATTGGGGCTCCCTATGGGGCTCACGAAGGTCCTGAGGGGTGTGCCGAAATGGGCGGGGGGACGCATGCGAACCCTGCCATTGGGGCCTTTCGGTGGGGCTCCCTATGGGGCCTCGAAACGTGTGAGGGTGTGCCGAAACATAGACATGCGGAGGGCAGAGGCAAGGAGGGAGGAGGGGGAGGAGCGCGGGAGGTGAGGTGAGGTGAGGTGAGGAACGCGGGGCGCTGTCTTTTCAAAACGAAGACCCAACACCACAGGATGGTTGGGAAAAAGGGAATTCCAGACATTCCCCAATCAGAGCTTGCCTCTGTAGGGGTCCTAGCAGATTCATATGGTTAGGTGAGGTGTTCACCCGATTTCCGCGGCCCGCCCAGGTGCCCGGGTGCCCAGGTGCCCAGATGCCCGGGTGCCCGGGTGACTGGGTGCCCAGGTGCCCGGGTGCCCGGGTGTTTTGTATCCCTATAGCCCTATTAGCCCTATAGCCCTATAGCCCTGTAGCCTTATAGCCTTACAGCTTTATAACCCCATAGCCCAATAGCCCTGTGGCCCTATAGCCCTATAGCCCAATAGCCCTATGGTCCTATAGCCTTATAGCCTTATAGCCCTATGGCACTATCGCCCTAGAACCCTTTAACCCGATAGCCCCATAGCCCAGTAGCCCTATAGCCCTATAGCCCCATAGCCTTATAACCCTATAGCCCTATGTCCCTATAGCACTATATCCATATAACCCCATCGCCCTATAGCCCTATAACCCTACATATATATACACATATACATATATGTGTATATGTATATAATATATAGCCCAATCGCCCCATAGCCCTACAGCCCTACAGCCTAATAGCCCTATGCCCATATAGCCCCATATCCCTAAAGTCTTATACCCTTTTAGTCCTATTGCCCTATAGCCTTGTAACTCAATAGCCCCACTGCTCTGTATGCCTATCGCCCTGTAGCCCTATAGCCCCATAACCCTATATCCCTATAACCCTATAACCCTATGGTCCTATAGCTCTATAGCCGCATAGCCCTATGTACTCATAGCCCTATGGCCCTATAGCTCTATAGCCCCATAACTCCAGAGCCCCATAACCCTAAAGCCCTATAGCCCTACAGCCCTACAGCCCTATGGCCCTACAGCCTCATAGCCCTTTAGCCCTATAGACCTATAGCCCTATGTTCCTATAACCCTATGGTTCCATAGCCCTACGGCCCCATAGCCCCATCGCCCTATAGCCCAATAGTCCCATAGCCCTATGGCCCTAAAAAGACTTTGATTGGGGTTTTCTCCAGTATCATTCCCTTTTCTTGGTTCAACAAGTACGCTCCCCCCCCTCCCGGGGGTCCCACACTTTCCCGGAACATTTGCGGAACGCTCCCGGTACTGCGCGTTCTTGCCCCGGGGGACTCTCAAAACGCCTAATGACAGCCCAAGACGTGACGACCCCAATAAGCTTCCAGAACGTGGAAGAACGGCCCAAGACGCTCCCAAGCGACCCAAGATAGCCTTCGGTCGGCTCTCCAGGTTCCCAGAACGCCTCCCAGAGACCTCAAAGACCTAGGAACTTGAAATACAAGTAACTCCAGGGATTCCTTTTTTTCAAGTTGGGACTCCTACTCCCTATCCTCTTCCTCCAGCCCCATCAAGACTTCGGGGTTACATGCAAAGTTTTTTCGGGAATGCTGTTGAACTCTCTGACGCTGTCTTGGCACTCTTGGATCGTCTTCGTGTCCTATCGGCTGCCCCTGAAACCACCGTAGAAATCGTCATCCCATGATCCCATGAGTTGAAACAGAGGAACTTTAGAATTCCCTTTTTTCCAAACTCACTCATGCTTATTTTTTCCACGAAGACCACGAGAGGCATCCCAACAGGCGGTGGCCTGCATCCAGAGAACCTCTACCCAACAGCCCAGGCACGGCAGCTTGAACAAACAAGGAAATCCCACAATTTCTTTTTTGTTGTCAAGTTCGCCCCCCCGCTGCCTATTCTTGCACAACAGGCCACAATTGAGGCCCCTGTCAGCTCCCAGAAAAGAACCCAGGAAGCCTTTTGAGGGCCCCAAAGCGTTGAATACCTCACGGGGATTAGTGATTTCTGCGTTTCCGCACTTCCCCTTCCATACGATTCCGAGGCTTGCGCAGGGTCTCCAAGAGAGCCCCTGGATGCAAGAAACGACACAAATGATATTCCATGAGTTAGCCCATCAAGCCTAGCTAGGACTTGAGCGCGCGCGAAGCGGGCGCGATGGTTCTAGTACATGCTCTAGTATACATATATATATATATATGTGTCCACATTCATGTATATGCACGACTGTATTGCTTGGGGCGACAGGGGTCAATATCATGAAGGGCGTGGTCCAAACGATGTCTCGTTCGGTCCAATGGCCGATGGTGCACACAGACAGGGACAGACGTCTTGTGTGCACTCGTGATTCGGGTGTCCGCGCGTGTACGTATGTTACAAGCAGGTTGCAGCGAAGCAGGGCGCTGGGCAGGTATCCAGAGCTGATGCCTTCCGTCATCGCCGAGGACGGTGAAGAGGTGGCACAGGAGGCAGATCCAGAAGAAGTCCCAGGCGATACGGATGCGATCGAGAGGGAGCATGGCGACAGTGACAAAGCGAACGAGGACGACGCTCGGAAGACGCAGACCGCCGATTCCGCTGGCACCGCTATCCCAGAGACGCTTGCGGAGGGCGGCGAGGATGCAGAGCGGGATGTGGCGAAGGCGGAGCTCCGACAAGAAGAGGACGATCGCGCCTCTGAGAAAGACGATGGGCTGAATAACGAGGAGTCTTCTGACAAGGAGGACCAGCACGAAGATGAAGCTGGTGGGATCGAGCTAGAAGATGGTCGCCAAGCGGGGCCTTCCCTTTTCGAGACTGTGCATTTGGTGGACCGCGGTGGAGATCTAGTGTCAGAAGGTATCGGACAAGCTGGAAATAGTTCTTTGCCTGCTGAGCAGGGTTCTGTACAGCAGGTGGAGCCAGCTGTGGGCATTGCATTTACGCACGAGATGCTTCGACGAAGTCGGGTTCATTGGCTTCTCGTCCGTTTATCTCATGAAGCGCGCCTTTTCCTGTCCCAGCCGTCGCAGCATTTTGTGCGCCTTGTATGTGTATTCAGAATATTTAGCCATATGATATCGTGGCTCCCGGAACATTTGCTTGTTTTATTGCTGGATCCTCTATTGAATCCTACCTATAGATGCTCGTCAGCGTTCGCATCGGGACGGGGGAAGGGTGGGACATGCATCTCCCTTACTATGTTTCTTGTGTTCCGCGGCATCATTACCCATTCGGGCAGGCAGTTGCACATCTTCTGGTCATCGCGGCCCTCCCTTGAGGCCTAGAGGAAGGTCAGTGGGTTCGTCGGGGTGAAGCTGCCCTCTATCCAAGCCACCCACCCATCCTCCAGCCTGCTGATTGTCGAGGTGGATGTAACACAGTCGAGTGCCAAGGTAGGGATCTGGTGCTTCGTCTTCCCTAGCATCTTTGTCTGTTCGGCCTTCTTACATTGCATTCTGAGCCTGCATCGTAACATTCCATGGATGTTCGAGGGCCGTGCACCCTTACATTGCATCCTTTCTCTTGTGTTTGACCGTTGGCTGTTCATCTGCCCATCAGCATTCACGACAGCACATTTGCTGTCTACCTCCGTTGGTGTTTTCGCAGGCATGTGATTGAATTCGCAGCTACCCACAGAGTGCGCTGACCTCTCTTGAGCATGCCTTCGCTCTTCTGGTAAGCCTGCGGTCATCAATGTCCATGACAGCGATCTTTCCGGTACCAGTTCTGACATTCTCAATGCGCTCTTTTTTGAATGGGAAGCGGAGGAGCAGTCTCTTCGCTGCCAGATATACAGAGTCTTGAACAAGCTCTAAGTCTGAGTACGGCTGGGCCGGGTGAGGGGTCGGAAGGCAAGGCAGTTCAAGCAAGGCGGCAGGGGACGCCGCGTGTGGCTCCCGAGCGAAGTGAACCCCACCCTCCCCCTCAGAAATCGTGGGGGGGAGGGGTAGGGTTCGCATGTGGCCCTCTATCCGCGCCTCCGGCGCCGCCCCTGGGGAGGGGGGTCCAGCGCAGATCCGAGAAATCCGCGCGGAGCGCCAAAAACGTTTACAGTCCAAAAACCCTAATATGGACGCGCGACTTTGCTCAGGGTACCCTTGCTCTTCCTTGCTCTTCCTTGCTCTTGCGTCCTTGAGGTTTTCGTCGCCCGCCGCCCAAAAATCCCAACTTCGGCTTCCAAGGGTCTTGCGTCCTTACCGCGCGTCCTTATTAGGGTTCTTGACTGTGTGCTCGTGGCGTGTCTTCTTCCAGTGCTCCCCCGTCGGAGCCAGCGCCCCCCTGTCGGCTCCCTGAGCCGCACCCCTGGGTGGCGTCGTTCAGGAGGGCAAGACACACCCGGACACAATTCATCGCCGACCCCCCAGGAAACATAGGAAAACATGGGAAGTGGGGGGGGAGACAAAAAACCAGAACACACGGGAAGGTATGGGGGATCCTGTTACTTGTGTCTGTTTATTTGTGTGTCCCAGGGCCCCTTTAGTCGTGGTCTTCTGGCGCTCTGCGGCGGGTTCGCGCCTTGCCGCCGCCGGCGCGGCGGCGGCGCCGGTGATTTTTCGGCTATTACTTGACTGTTTGGGATTATTTTTGGCTATTTTTTATTTGTCATCCAACATCCGCCTATAGGAGGACGTGCCCGACCTAACACCAGGCCAACCTGGAACGGTCTCCGCTTTAGGATTGCGGGGGTCCTTCACGATGGAGCGAACTGAGCTCTAGATCTCCCAGATGGGGTTCGAAGAGATGGGGTCGGGGGAGCGCGCCTCGTCGCCGATGCATGGGCGGTGCGGCTGGATGTGGAGCCCGATGTTCTCCACGTCGACGTCGCCGATGCATCGCCGACGTCGACGATGCATCGCCAATGTATCGCAGATGCGTCGGCGATGCATCGGCCATGCCGCGCAGGTCGACTCGACACGACAGGATCCTGACATGCAGCTGGCACGAGGTATAAGGGTAACCCTTATGTCGGAGGGGTACCCTTACGCTCTTCGTGTTTGGCTCTCCACCTTCGAATGGCCCTCCTTGTGAGTCGATGGGGCATTGGGCTTGCAGCGAAGGGACCCATGCTCTTGACCGACGTTCTTTTGGCCCTGCTTCGGCTGTAGATCCCTGGCCTCGCCAGGGGCGGTACGGCCGGATGGCCAGCGGGCGTCTCGGGCGTCTCTGCGAGGCGAGGGCGTCTTGCCTTGGGCTGTCCGACCGCGCTTCCGCTGCCTCGTTCGACGACGACGGCGACGACGAGGACGGCGACGAGGCGGGCTGCGAGGAGGGTGCGACGTTTTGCGCACGACGACCAGAGCTCGATGATCAGGCACGTCTTTGACGTTTTGTGGCCCGCCTTGCGAAAGCCCCTGGAAGCTTCGGGAGGCCTCAGTGGGCCTCGGGGGACAGCCAGGGGCGTCCGCTGGGATGGGCATGGGGATGGGGAAGACGTTTCGTGCGTGCCCACGGGTTCCCACGATCGCTGACAGCGATGCGGCAGCAGCTGCTTGCGCGCTGAGGTTTCCCCCGCCCCCCTCACCGCCGCACACCAGAGGGTGCTCTTGCCTGGGGCCACCGTTGCGTAGGACAGACCCGTGATCCACCCAGGTCATGACGGGCTGCGATCAATACCTGCTCTTTTTCGTTTCTTGTCCTGTTTCGTGCTCGTTTTGGCGGCGAGCGAGGGGGGGACGTGAGAAGGAGAAGGCCTTCTCAGAAGGCGGCGGGCCGGTGACCACGTGGGAGCCCGAACCCCAACCCCCCACGATTCCCGAGTGTGGGCGCGGGTTCGCTTCGTTCGGGAGCTCCCGAGCGAAAGGACCCCCCGCACCCCCTCCCCTTAGATCGGCGTCACACCAACATACTTCTAACATATGTGCGTCGCCCCCCTAGGGGTGACGCGCGCACCGAGAACTCTTATAGTATATGCGTCGTGGCGGGCGCTTTCTGACCACTCCGCTCGGGAAACGATCTACTACAAGATGTGTATACCCTACGTTCGGGTCGGACGCGCGCCTCCAAGGAGGACACATAGTACTAGTATGTCTCTGTGCCTCCCCTCAGAGATCGCGGGGGTGTGGGGGGCCCCCTACAGTGAGCGGCTTGAATAAGGAACACTTACTTTTCAAAAGGGGCTCGGTCATTCCTTAGGCTTGCATGCGTTATTTTCAGTTCCTTGTGCGTCATTTGTTGTTTTATCGCTCCTGATGCGTTATTCCTTGGGATGAAAAAGGGGCTTCGTTCCCTATTTATCGTTCCTTAGGTCAGGCCGATGGCTGTAGCGGTGGGGGGCTGGGGCGCTGCCGGGGCCGCAGGAGGCCCCCCTGGGAGAGGGCAGCCGAGCGCTGGGCGCCGCGGGCGCGGGGGCGGGCGGGCGGGCGGCACCCGGCCCTTGCCGTGTGCTGCTCCTCGGGGGGTCCCGCTGGCGCCCTCGTGGGGGGTCGGGCTGCCGTTCTGGGGCCCCTGGGGGATTTTTTCTGTTTCTCGGAGGGGGAAGAGGTACCCAGGATTTTTTCTGTTTCTCGGAGGGGGAAGAGGTACCCATGCATCTGCCCCGTCGCCCGCTTCCCCCTCTGTGAGCCTCCTCGGAGGCCCCCGTCGCCACCGCGGGATTCGCCACGAAATTCTGGTCAGAAGGCATCCCAGGAGAGGTCCGGGGACCAGCGGTACGGGTACCTTTTGCTCTCCCCAGCTTCTGTTCGTCCCAGGAGCCTGAGATCTGCACGAACGAGATGGGTACGGAAAGAATGGGTACAATGCCCAACAGCGGTACCTGTTCATTTTGAACAGGACTCGCTGTCGGAGTCGCCGCGGCCTGTGCACATTTGAGACAGAAGGCCGCCTGCCCAACAGCGGCCGCTGTTGGTTTGGGACAACATTTTTTCGGTACCCATGTCGGGCGTCCAAATGAGAGAGCAGATCGCCCGCAGGCTCAAGAGTCCCAGCCGAGCGTGGGGCTCGCACGTGGTCACCCAGCGAGGCGTCTCAGAGGCCCTCCGGCCTTCGGGAGGAGCTCCCCGCGCCCTCGGCCCGCCCCATCCGCACCTCCCCGGGCTCGCCGCCGCTCCTCAGCGCGGCCACGGCTTCCGAGACCTCGGCCCTCTGCCCAGTCCCCTCTCCCGCGCCCCTTGTTGTCGCCCTGCTGTGCAGGGAGTTCACCAGCTCTGGGGACGGTGTGGACACGCCTGCCTTTCTGGCAGCTCGGACGGAGGGGTCTGAGCCTGCTCGCTGCTTCCCCCTCCGCGGCGGCGAACCACACCTCTGGGGACGTGGAGGCCTGGAGCGTTGAGCTCAAACAGAAAAACAAACTCCCACGGCCCGATCCCCAGCACGGCCCCATCCCCAGCTCCCCCCTCCCCCCCAGGGCTCGACCCAAGCGGTGTTTTGGCGATTTCGTGGGCTGTTTTCGTTTTGATCTCGTTTTGCGGAGTGAAGACAAAACGGGGGAACAAAGAAGCAAAACGAAGCCGAGAAACAATGTCTTTGTCGAGCCCTGCTCCAGCCTCCCCCCCCCCCGGTGGACAGGGAGCAACGAGGGGAGGAGCAGAGGCTGGAGTTCCTGGCCCAGCTGGCCCAGGGCTGCGTCGACGGCCTCGCGAAGAAGCTCCAGGGTGCAGGCCTCGGCGCAGAGTACTCACAGGATGGGGCGAGGGGCGGCCGGGGCAGCCCGGTGGAGGACGAGGTGCCCATGCCGCTGCCCTTCCCCTCGTCTTCCCGTCTTGGGCCTCCTGGGGGGCCCCCGTCGCCGCCGCTGGCCTCGCCGCGACGCCCCGGTCCGGACGCACCCCGGGGCGAGGTCTAAAACAGGGCTAGGATCGGGATAAACCGCTCCAGAGCGTTCCGGAGCGCTCTCAGAGCGTTCCGGAACGCTCTGGAGCGGCCGCGGCGCCCAATACATCCTCCAAACCCGCCGATTCTCAGAGATTTCGAGTTATCCCGATCCGATGTTGTCCCGATCTTCGCGTCGTTGTAAGGTCCGGGGAGCCGCGGCCGCGGTGCCCTGCGGCTCCCCCGGCAGCGGCGGCAGCCGACGGGGCAGCACCCCCGTGGCCACGGCGCGCGCGCCTTTTTTTTTTTTTTTGTGTGTGTGTGTGTGTGTGTGTGTGTGTGTGTGTGTGTGTGTGTGTGTGTGTGTGTGTGTGTGTGTGTGTGGGGGGGGCGCCTCGGCGCCGGGTGCGCGCGGAGCTCGTCGGCCCGCCGCGTCGGGTGGAGAGGCTGTTTTGCGCCGTGCCAGGGGGGGGGTAAAACGACGCGAAGATCGGGACAAAATCGGATCGGGATAACTCGAAATCTCTGAGAATCGGCGGGTTTCGAGGATGTTTTGGGCGCCGCGGCCGCTCCAGAGCGTTCCGGAACGCTCTGAGAGCGCTCCGGAACGCTCTGGAGCGATTTATCCCGATCCTAGCTCTGTTTTAGAGGAGGAGCGGCGGGTTCTTCCGCCCTGGCCTTTTTCCCCTCATGCCTCTCCCTCCCCTTCCCCTGCCCCCAGTCTTCCTGTTTCCCTCTTCTGTGTCTCTTCCTCTTGCCCTCTCTCTTCCTCTCGCGTTCCTCCCCTCCTCTCCTCTCCTTCTTCTTCTTCTTCCTCCTCCTCCTCCTCCGCTCCTCGTTCTGTTTGGACCTTTCGCGTTTCCCTGACGCGTTCGATGCGATACCAAGGCAGGGTCCCTCTCCTCTGCCTCCTCTGCCTCCGCTTCCTCCCTTTGTTCCGATACGTTTCATGGGTTTTGTTGTATCGCCCCGTTTTCCCCTCCCCGCCTCCCGCGCTGCACAGAGTGGTGAGTGGCTCTTCGATTGGGTGGTTGGTCCCCCCAGAAGGCTACCTTCCTCTTTATCTCCCTTTTCCCTTCCTCCCTCCACCCCTCCTTACCTTTATCGCCCACCTCACTCCTCCGCTAAAACTGGGCCAGGGCAGAGTATGCTGTCATCCCCGAGACATTTGAAACATTTATACTGTGCTCTGTTGTCATCCTCCACGTCATCCTCCAAGTCATCATCATCATCATCATCATCATCATCATCATCATCATCATCATCATCATAATCATCATCATCATCATCAGCAGCAGCAGCAGCAGCAGCAGCAACAGCAGGAGCAGCATCGCCAGTATCACCACTACCATCATCACCAGCATCAGGATCAGCATCAGCATCGTCATCATCATCATCATCATCATCATCATCATCATCATCATCATCATCATCATCATCATCATCATACTCATCAGCATCAGCATCAGCATCACCATCGTTATCACCATCATCATCATCAGCATCATCGTCATCATCGTCACCATCATCACAATCGTCATCATCACCACCACCAGCATCACCACCATCATCATCAGCAGCTTCAGCATCACCATCATCATCATCACCATCATCATCATCGTCGTCGTCATCATCATCACCGTCAGCATCAGCACCAGCATCAACATCAACATCAGCACCACCACCAGCATCAGCATCATCATCACCACCATCGCCATCACCATTACCATCATCATCACCATCACCATCACCATCGCCATCAGCAGCATCATCATCATCATCACGTTAGGTCTCCAGTCGCCTGCACCTCTTGTGTGAAGCTCCCCCAGCTGCAGTATGAAGACAGTGGCAAGCATAAAGCACGCAGCACGCTGTAAGTTGCGAAACAGGAGCACCGGCGATCACAACGAATCAGGATTCTGTTTTCGCTGGCTTCGTTCCTTGGGTTTCCAGCCGAGCCCTGGATTATGGACGTGTGGCTGGGGGTCGCAGACAACAGTCACGGGCAAACTTGAAACCAGCGATAAACATACAAGCGTTGTCAGCCTTGCGCCGACATGAAGGCCCATTCCTTCCCTCCCTTCCTCCTTCCCTCCTCCCTCCTACTTCGCAGGTGGACCTCCACCCTTCACACTCCGATGCCGAGCGCCCCCGCCGTGCTGAGCCCTCTTAGGGGCCGCGGCGCCACCAAGAGACATCCGTCGTCCCGCCTCGGAGACAGATCCAGATCTCCCGCTTGGGCTAAACGGAGCGCGGGCTAGGCAGGTCATCCGAGAAGCTCGTTCGTCGAGCACTGCGAAACGACGCAACGGAGAAGCAGAGACGGCAGAGCAAAGGCGAGTTCCCTTTTCAGCAGCAGCAGCAGATGGACCGGTCCTGCCCTACCTGGACATGCATATGGCGCGTACAAGATGATGCAACATGATCGTCTAGGTTTGGATGTAGTGTGTCAGACACTCAGCCGCGATGCCTTCGCACGGCAGTTTGCCGAGTGCAACGGAAGCGGCCGTGAGTATGAACCAGATTGGAACAAAGGGGATGCCGCCACTTGCTGCGACAGAAAAGGTAGCATAGGACAACGGCACGGACAAGGACACGCCAACACAGTTGGACGATGATATGACATATTCTAGACGCTTCGCGTAACCCAAGCAGTCCATCCAGAAACGATGCCCCGACGAATTGCCCTGATCAAGCATGTGGAGGAGCATGCCGTGGAACACAGAACTGGGTAAGACGTCATACCCCAAGCGGGGAAGGAGGACTCGGATGAGCAGGTGGAGGAGGAGGAGGAGGGGCAGGGGGAGGGGGAGGAGGGGAGAGGAAGGATGAGGAATTGGCGGAGGAGGAGGAGGAGGAGGAGGAGGAGGAGGAGAAGGAGGCGGAGGAGGAGGAGGAGGAGGAGGAGGAGGAGGAGGAGGAGGAGGAGAAGGGCGAGCAGAAAGGCCAGATGCCTCATGATGCTTCTCGGAATATGTTCGGATGTCTTTCGAGCGCTTCTTGGAGTCCTCTTGTGGCGTCTTGGATGTTTTTTGGCAGTCCGTGGGGCCCCTTGGGGCGTCTTGGGTGCTTCTAGGGGGCCTCTTGGGGGACTCTTGGGGGTCTCTTGGGGTGGCCTGTTGGAGCCTCTTGGGGGTCTCTTGGGAGCCCCTTGGAGGCATCCTGGGGGCCTCCTGGAGCCTCCTGAGCACCTCTTGAGGCCGTCGTGGGGCATCCGTTGCCAGCCTCGGGGGCCATATTGGGGCCATCGTAGAGGAGATCTGTCAAAGGAGGGGGCCTCCTTTGGGGCGTCTTGGGTGCCTCAGGGGCCTCTTGGGGCCTCTTGGGGCCTCTTGGGGCCTCTTGGGGCGTCTTGGGTGCCTCAGGGGAGACTCTTGGGGCCTCTTGGGGGTCTCTTGGGAGCCTCTTGGGGGCATTTTGGGGGCCTCTTGGTGGCCTCTTGGGGCCTCCTGGGTGCCTCTTGGGGCCGTCTTAGGGCACCCTTGGAGCCTCGGGGGCCATCTTGGGGTCATCTTGGAGGAGATCGATCAAATGAGGGACCGCACTACAGTAGGGTCCCCCCCAGGAGGCCAAACCGTGGCCAATACCTTAGTAACATAAGTGAGTGTTGCCTTCTCGCCGAGGTCATTTTGGACGCTCCAACGACCCGCGAAACCTCCCGTGCAAATTCAGGGGGATAGGGTAGGGGGAGGGGTGTACCCCTCCCCGAGGGGGAAGAAGTGGGATTGGAAGAGGAAGCGCTTTCAAGCACTCACGCCCTAAAGGGCTGGTGGGACTACCAAGAGGAGGATCATCAGCCATAGACAGCTGGCGCTGAGTGGGGCAGTTTGCAAGATCAGAGGCTCACCATGAGTTTAACTGCTTCCCCACACATTGGAACAAAAACACCGTCGCACACATCCAGTCATACTGATGGAGTATTTGGCCAGGGTCAGGAAGCTATTCTCCTTTCGAGACCATTGCCCCAGGCGGCGACAACGACTTATGCATCGTCCCCTCCCTGCCTAAGGATGCACAGGGCCATTTGGGAGCCGCCGCCAGCTGACCCAGCGTTGCTCGCAGGGCACATATTTGAGTTGCCGAGCGACCTGCCCGCGCTAGGTCCACTCATCCGTCCGAAGAGGAGAGGGCGAACATGTAAGGGCAGAAGAAGAGCGGGATTCTACCATTGTGGTAGCTACCCGTATGGCGTGTCCACCGAGCGATTGTTTGGCACATCAGCAGGCGTAATTGCAAAAGGCACAACAGCACACAGAGCAGCGTCAGAGCATCGTCAATGCCAAGCAGGCTGAGCTGCATGCAATCCGAGCCGGTCTTGATCATGCGCAGTTGATGCAGGACCGCCACACCGCTGGCCTGAAACAATTTAACTTCTCATGGGGCAGTATTCGCCCTCTCCGCCAACTGAAAAGGCACTAACGATGCTGGAGGAGATGGAGATGGCTGCAGCGCCAGCCACCCCAGATTTTCAATCACCAGGAACTCCCAACGCAGCGGCAGGTACGGTCGACATCGCGACGTTGTGCTCACATTTTCCATCCTTCAGAAGCAGCATGCAGAGTGGCAGCGACTGATGCTGGAGACCAATCGTTTGCTATATCAGAGGCTCATTTCAGTAATCAAACATGTAGCGGTGACGAGACGGGTTAGCCTCGAGTGCAAGTAATCTTCAAGTCAGCTGCTGAGCGGCATGCGGAGGCAGGCATGCAGGCAGACGCCGCGCCAGGCCTCATTCAGCTGACCCTTGTTGCAGTAGACCGCACTATTGCGAACGCAGGCGGCGCACGGGCAACAAGCGCAGCCGCTACATCATCCAGCTCGTATGCATCCAGCCAGTCCCAGGCCACACCTCCAGCAACAGTCATGCCCCAGCAGAGCTAGCAACGTCGGCCAGGGCAGCCCCAGTGCCAGGACAGCACCCCGCGGCGGCAGGTACGTGTCCGACTGATAGTTGACAGATCGCGTGAGATCAGGATCCCAATTGCCTTGCCCCCTCTGAGATTCCCTCTCCCACCCTACAGGCTAAGGCGGCCAAACATTCTGATCTCATCATACAGTATTGCAATCGGCCAGAAGCCAATGAGGGAAGGGTTGTCTTTTTTGTTTGTGGGGGGTCGGGGGGGAGGGATGCTTCGGTTATCTGAGGGGGCTCAAATCTTGAGCCTCTGGCCAGGGCGGGTGGTTTGGGCCTGGGTGGTTCTTGTCCGCCGTGCACGGCGGGATATAAATGCTGCCCTAATTGTTTTTGAGCTCCAAGTTTACCCTTGCGCCCCCCCGAAGGGGGGGCCCGAACGGCATGCTTCCTCCTGTCGAGTCGATCCGATCCGATCATTTTTTTGGTCTTCCGTTCTCCGGCTCCCCACGATCTTCCAGATCCAATCCACGTGAATGCAGAGGCCCACTTCACCAGCTATGGCAGCGGCAATGGCACCACGCTATCATTAGTGATGATGGGCATGACTTCGACTATGATGTCAATAGTATCAGCACCAGTGGCACTGTGAAAGCAGATGTCAAGGCTGATGTGGGTTTGGCCGGTTGTGGCAAGGTGAACAAAGCCAACGACAAATATAAGACAGGCAAGAAGGGGAAAAGCTTTAGAACGCACAAGCAAGGACAAGACCACATGTGCAGGGGGTACCCTGGTGGCCAGCACCGCTTGAGTGACGTGACGGGCAAAGTGGCATCATAGCCCTGAGGGCGACCCTATCCAGGAGGCAAGCGCTTCCAGCACAGCATCGCGAGCCAGTTCCTCGGCCGGCAAGTCGGCCTGCAGATGCCCAGGGCGCCGAGTGCGAAGCATAGCGGCACCCACGGCAGCGACGACGGAGACAAGAGCTCGACTGCTGTGCTGCAGGGCCCCCGCAGGCAGGTCCTCGGGCCCCGTCGTCCGATCAGGCCAACGAGACGTGTCACATGCCTTTGCACGGCATCCCCGCTTCGCCTTTGCACGGCATCCCCGCTTCCTCCTCCTCCTCCTCCTCCTCCTCCTCCTCCTCCTCCTCCTCCTCCTCCTCCTCCTCCTCCTCCCCTTCCTCTCCCCCCCCCTCCCCCTCCTCCTCCTCCTCCTCCTCTTCCTCCTCCTCCTCCTCCTCCCGGGAAACGGTGTCGGCGAGTTTTCCCCGCTTCGCCGGCGCCTGCAGACTGCAGCGACACGCATCGCATGCAATAGCAGCCATCGGCTGTCACACCGCACAATTTTGCTCAGGCGGCTTTACCCCGCGGTGCGCCGGCCCCGTAAGTCCCCCTTGCGGTAATTCCACTGCCGCCCCTGGGCGGCTGATTGGAGCTTAGTCGAGGCGGGCTGGGCAGCTGGGAATCAGTGCACAGGCCCAGACTAACCTCAATCAGCGATGAGTTGAGTCAGCTCTCCGGGGGGCCCAGGACCTGGTTTATCGTCCGTGTTTTTTTCCAATAGTTGCTTCTCCTGGGAGTCCGACCACCCAAGGAGTCAGGCACTTTTCGTATATAGTATCCCTTAGGTGGTCATATTCTACTTGACGCTCGCATCCGCAGCGGTGGCAGCAGCAGCGGGCGGCATCGTGTGAGTTCAGTTGCTCGATATTCGTTGTGTCGGCAGCGCATCCCTCCTCGATGCGAGGGCAGGTAAGCTCAGGTATCTGTGTGTTTGCGCGCTCCGCCCTCCCTTATTACCCTACTCTGTCTTGAGGCCCTGGCAGCGGATGACAAACAATGTCAATGGCGAAATCAGATCGGCGTCTCCTGGCTGATCCTGCCATCGATCTTTTCCGATTCAAGAAAATGCATACCTGCAGGTTGGCGTCTAGGGGGGTTCCGCGGCGTCGTTCCAAGCGCGCGCTCGTTCAATATTGAACTCGCCAGTGGCCCAGAATTGGCCGATATCGAGAGATCCGCACGGCCGGAAAGCCGAGATCGTGCAGAAATGAACGACCCACGCGGTGTCAGAAACCAACACCGACGTCGTCACGACACGATCTTGCCGTATTGGTGTGCTCCGAGGGTTGATGGGCAATTGTAGGCCAACAAGCTGGCCACGCTCAGTGTAAGCTCCAGCAGAAGCAAGCTTGGACTGGCAACCGGTCACAAACCCAGCGCTGCACTGAGCTGTATTTGACCACATTGAGTGGCCCAGGCGATGCCCTGGTAGATCGTCCACGTCTGAATGTCACGGCCCTGGTCCGCCCTTCGTGCTCACCCTATCTGCGGTGCTTGACGCTCCAGTCTGACGCCCACCGCCCCCCATGTCGTTGGATAGGGCCTCTGGGATGGTGTGGGCCACACTGCTGTGCCTGGCTCGGCCTCAGGGCTGGCCCTGCTCGGGGCCTCAGGAGACCCATGGGGCGCCCCGCCAATTCGGCTCCCTCGCGTTCTTCGGGTTCGGTCGGGGCTGCTGGACTTGGACCTCCCCCCTCCCTTCCACTCCTCCATCGGGGCCAGGATTCGGTGGAGCCGAGTCGGCTTTCGTCCGCGCCCTGGGTTGCGCCCAAGGGCCACTTGCTGGCCGACTCGCCTGTGCCTTCTCCCAGTCTGCATCCCGCGACGCGAGGATGAAACGCGGTCCTTCCTGCTCCCTCGTCCCCCGTCCCTCCTTCCTCCTCCTTCCTCCCTCTTCCATCCTCCCTCCTTCCTCCCTTCGCCCTCCCTTCTCCTTCCTCCTCCTCTCTCGTCCCTCCTGTATTTGCCCTCTTCTCTCCTCCCTGTTCTCTTCTCCTTCTTCCCCCCCCTTCTCCATCGTCTCTCATTCCTCCTACTCCCTCGCCCCCTCTCCTTCCTTCCTCGTCCTCCTCGCCTCCTCCCTGCTCGCTCCCTGTCCCCTTCTCAATGTTTGCTGGTCCGTCATGTCTCCTCGTTGCACCCTCCTCCGACAGTGGACTGCGCCAGATGTGCAGAGGCGGCGGGAGGCCATCCTCAAAGTCCGCAAGGCCGTGGAGCGGAAACGATCGGACCGCGTGCAGAAGAGAAAGCTCCTTCCCGTCACCGACCCCGAGGCTGCGCCCAGACGGGGCCCGTCTTCCAGGAGGTTGGGGGCGAGAGGAGAGGAAGCAGGAGGAGGAACAGGCCGATTCCGCTCGCTTCGCAGGGTGCACGCCCAGAGCACGTTACGAGTGGGCGTTGGGTGGTTTGCCTTGCTCGTCTGCCGCGCTGGTCTCTCGTTCTGCCCGCCCCAGGCGCTGCCAGCGTCACGGGTGGCGGATGCGCCCCCCTCCCCCGTGTCAGCGCCGGGACGAGCGCGCGAGTGTCCACGAGGGAAACGGGCATTCACCGCGTGTCAGCACAGGGTAACGCGAGGTTCAAGCTCCGATGGGCATAGCAACAGCACGCCAGTCGTGCACGATTCCGCGGGCCCTTCGTTGATGTCTTGGGGCCGTTTGGAGGCTCTTTGGGGGCCTCTTGGAAGCTTCTTGGGGGCCCCATGGGGGCCTCTTTGGGCCCTCTCGGGGCCCTTCGTGGGCCTCTTGGGTTGTCTTGGGGCGCTCGTGCGCTGCTTGGGCCCCGCGGACCTCTCAGGGCCGCCTTGTGGCCCCCCTGGGGTCCTCCTGGGCCGTCTTGGGGGTCTCTTGAACCATTCTGGGGGCCTCCTTGGGGGCCGTCTTGGGGCCGTCTTGGGGCCGTCTTGGGGGCCTCTGGGGCCGTTTGGGCGCCATTTTGGAGGCTGCTTGGGCCGTGTCTGGGCCGTCTTGGGGCCCTCTTGGGGGCCTCTGGGGCCGTTTTGGAGCCATCTTGGAGGCTGCTTGGGCCGTCATGAGCCCCCGAGAGTCGGAAAAATGCGACAACGCGTAAGAGTCTTGTAAACCCCACCTGGGATTCAATGTATTTGGCCCCTGGAGGTGTTCTTGGGGGCTCCCTTGGAGCCCTGCGGCTGTCTTGAGGGCCTCGTGGTCCCTCTTGGAACTATCTTGGGCCGTCTTGGGGCCGTCTTGGGCCTTCTGGAGGCCATGTTAAACCGTTTGGAGGCCCTTTCGGACCCCCAAGAGGCCCCATAGGCTGATGTCAGAGATCCTCCATGCGTTTTGCCACGTCTTTGGTCCCTAGAAGGGGGGAGGGCACTATGGTCCGCCAATGTGGCGCGGCCCCAGGGTGTGTAGGGGGATACATCGTACACTTCAATCATATATGCAAACATCGTTTCAGGTATATATATATATATGTATGTACATATGTGATTGAACATCTACGCCTTTGAATGCATGTATACATATGTATGAATGTACACATGCATACATGCATGCATGAATGCGCGTATGTATGTGTACATGCATGTATGTATGTATGCATGTAGGCATGCATGTATGTATGCATGCATGTATGTATGTATGTGTGTATGTGTGTATATATGCATGCATGCATGCATGCATGCATACACATATATATATATATATATGTATATGTAGGTATGCATGCATAACCGAATGCATGCATGCATGTATGTATATATGTATGTATATATGTATGTATGCGTGTGTCTATGTATGTATGCATGTATGCACGCATGTCTGTATGTATGCATGCATGCATTTGCATATGTATGTACACATGTATGTCAGGACGTATTCGTGTATGTGTGCACGTGTGTGTACACATGTGTCTGGGTGTATGCGTGTATGTGTGTATGTGTGTGTGTGCACGTATGAATGTATGTATGTACGTAGGCATGTATTTATGTGTGTATGTATGTATTCAGGTGTGCATGCATGTATGTATGTTTGACTTCCTGTATGTATGTGGATGCATGTATGCTTGCATGCATGTATGCATGCATGCATGTATGTGGATGAATGCAGTTGTGTCTGTATGTATGCATGCACGCAGGCATGTTTATATGTATCTATGTATGCATGTGTTTATGTATGTATGTATGTCTGCATGTATGCCGTGTTCATGAATGCATGCACACATGTATGCACGTACGCATGGCATGTATACATATTGGTATGTACGTACGTATGCACATGTGTTCCGATATGCATGAAGGTAGGTATGCATGTATGAACGTAATTATGTATGTATGTATGTATGTGTGCAGATATGTACGTATAACGTTATGCATGCATGCATGCATTTATATGTGTATGTATGCATGTATGTCTGTATGTACTCATGAGTGTATGTATGCATGCATGTATGCATGCATGTATGCCAGTATGCATGCATGCATGCATGCATGCATGCATGTGCGTATGTATGTATTTATGTATGGTTGTATGTATTCGTGTATGTGTGTATGTGTGTATGTGTACATGTGTGTCTGTGTGTATGTGTGTACGTGTGTATGCGTGGATATGCATGTATGTATGTATGTATGCATGTATGTATGTATGTATGTAGACAAGTAGGCATGTACGTATGTGTGTATGTATCTATGTATGCATATAGGCATGCATGCATGTATGTATGTTTGACTTCCTGCATGTTTGTAGATGTGTATGTGTATTGGTATGCATGCATGCATGTATGCTTGTATCTATGTATGCATGCATGCATGTATGTGGATGTATGCATGTGTGGATGCATGTATGTATGTATGTATGCATGCATGCATGCAGGCATGTTCATATGTATCTATGTATGCATGTGTTTATGTATGTATGTACGTGTGCATGTATGCACTATTCATGAATGCGCGCGTACATACATGTATGTACATATATATATATATATGTATACACACATGGCTGCATTGGCGCTTCGCGCCATGCACCTTGTTCCTTGAAGCTTTGGAATGGTTGGCCCGTGGTGCCATCCTTTTTTCCATTTGAGCCGCGGTCCGCTGGATCGTACTTCGGAGAAGCGCAGGATGAGCAGAAAGGGGGGCAATCAACCTGGGACGGGCCAAAACTGCGAGTTGGAGGCCGCGGGCGCATGGAATGGCGTATATGAGTGGGGGCCGCGTGGGAATCAACTGGAATCCTGGGTTCGCAACCGAATTTCCGGAAAATTGGTTGCGAACCTGGGATTATGAGCATAATGCGGCTATTCTTCAGGGAATATCAGATGAAGGGGGCGCGGGGCGGCGGAGTGGTGCGATTTCGAGGGCGGCGGGTTTGACGGGCAGGGTGTTGGTCGGCTTGGCTCTTATGAGCCGTCGGGACCCCCTTTTGAGGGCCGCTGGGCCGCCTTGGGGCGCTGAAGCCCTTCGAGTGGGTTCGCGGGGGTTCTCTCAGAGCCTTGTGGAGCGGTCTGACGGTTGCTGTTGTGGGGCCGTTACGCTCTCCTGTATCCGCTTGAGCAGCACTCGCTTGCTCCATTTACGGAGGAGCGGAGGAGAAGGCGGAGGAGGAGGAGGAGGAGAAGGAACAGGGAGGAGGAGAGGAGGCAAGCGGCAAGGTCGCCCGCAGGAGCCCGAGGCTACGGATGCACTGAATAACGCAAATTCAGCGGAGTGACTAGAGATCTGCTGGTGTCCTGGGTTGACAACGGGATTTCCAGAAAAATGGTTGCGAACCCGGGATTGTGGCCTCTTCCTCCTCCTCCTGCTCCTCCTCCTTCCCCTCCTCCGCCTCCTCCTCCGCCTCCTCCTCCTCCTCATCCTCTTCCTCCTCCTCGTTTCCTTCTTTCTCTGCCTTCTTCTCCTCCTCCTCCTTCCTCCTCCTCCTCCGCTTAAGCCAATGGAGAATTAACGATTTGGAAGCTTTTTTGGAGCTTCGCCGGAGTTCCCAGGGAGCCTCCCGAAGCTCTTTGGAGCTCTCTTGGGGCCTCCTTGGGTCCTTTCGGGGCGGGAGGCTCGTATTTTCAGTTATCTGGTCCTCCCTGGGGCACTTCTTTGGGCCGTCTCGGAGCGTTCGTGGGCCGTCTTGGACCGTCTTGGGGCGCGTCTTGGACCGTCTTGGGGCTTTTCAGGGCGCTTTGGGAGCCCCTTGGGCCGTTGTGGAGCGGTTTTTGGGGCTTCTTGGGCGGTCTTGGAACGTGGGAAAACATTGAAAAACCAATGGGAAAGTAACCTTTTGAATGTTTTTGGAGCCTCACCGAAACGTCTTAAGGGGCCTCCCGAGGCCCTTTGGAGCTCTCTTGGGGCTTCCTTGGATTTTTTTCGGGGTGGGAGGCTTGTATTTTCAGATCGTGGTCCCCCCTAGGGCTCCTCTTTGGGCCGTCTTGGAACGTTCCTGGGCCATCTCGGACGCGTCTTGGGCCGTCTTGGGGCTTTCTCAGAGCGCTGTGGGAGCCTCTTGTGCCGTTGTGGGGCGGTTTTGGGAGCTTCTTGGGCGGTCTTGGAGCGTCGGACACCCGAAAAAGCGAGGACGCTGAAAACATTGAAAAACCAATGGGAAAGTAACAATTTGGGATGTCTGTGGAGCCTCACCGGAGCTACTTAGGGGGCTTCCCGAGGCCCTGTGGAGCTCTCTTGGGGCCTCCTTGGGCCTTCTCGGGGCGGGAGGCTCGTATTTTCAGTTCGTGGTCCCCCCTGGGGCCCCTTTTTGGGCCGTCTTGGAACGTTCCTGGGCCATCTCGGACGCGTCTTGGGCCGTCTTGGGGCTTTCTCAGAGCGCTCTGGGAGCCTCTTGGGCCGTTGTGGGGCGGTTTTGGGAGCTTCTTGGGCGGTCTTGGAGCGTCGGACACCCGAAAAAGCGAGGACGCTGAAAACATTGAAAAACCAATGGGAAAGTAACGATTTGGGATGTTTTTGGAGCCTCACCGGAGCTACTTAGGGGGGGCTTCCCGAGGCCCGGTGGAGCTCTCTCCTCCTTGGGCCTTCTCGGGGCGGGAGGCTCGTATTTTCAGTTCGTGGTCCCCCCTGGGGATCCTTTTTGGGCCGTCTTGGAGCGTTCGTGGGCCATCTCGGGCGCGTCTTGGACCGTCTTGGGGCGCTCTCAGCGCGCTCTGGGAGCCTCTTGGGCCGTCTTGGAGCGGTTTGGGGAGCTTCTTGGGCAGTCCGGGAGCGTCGGAAACCCGAAAAAGCGAGGACGCTGAAAACATTGAAAAACCAATGGAAATTCAATGATATTGTTCTCTCGGGCCCCTTTTGAGAACGGTCTTGGGGCTCTCGCGGAGG